ATTACTAATTTTACATAAAGGCCGTATAATGGCTTGCTTCCATGCAGATGGAAAATAACTACAAACAATGGAGGAATTGATGATGTGAGTGAGATACGGTAGCAAAAAAGGACAGCAGAGTTTCACGAAATCTATGCTGATTCCATCAGATCCGTATGATTTTGAGGAAATACTGTTGATGATTTTATAAACATTGCTCTCATCTACTTCCGAGAAGGTAAATTGGCTCTCAAAAGTGCGTACGTTCTCTGAGTAATATTGCAGAACTTCGCTATAATCGTTATCAAGTGCCGTCACCGAGTTAATAAAATATTTATTTATCTCATTTACATCCTGCAATTCAGTGGGAACATCACCTGTCTTAGGAGTACTATAAACATTAGTAGTCTTCAATATCTTCCACAACTCCTTTGAAGAGTGATGTTTTTGAACATAGTTGAAGTAACTTTTTTTTTCTGCTTTAACAGCGTTATTTGTTAGGTTACGCAATTGTTTGTAGTATTCCCAATTATTTGGATTATTAGTGACTCTAAATCTACGCAGGGCTTTATCACGCAACTTCTGCATCAACTTCATCATTCATCGTCATAAATTAACAGTCATTCCAGTCCAAATGCACGTGACCGCTTCAACGATCGTTTTTATTATTTCCAGAATAGGTAACTCAAGTATTACGCCCATAATTAGTTTGTATTTATTAACGATCTTCGAGATCGTTTATAATTTTGTATTGCTGTCTGTCTGTCCGTCTGTCTGTCCGCCCGCCTGTCTGTCCGTCTGTCTGTCAGTGTGCACGATAACTTTGTGTAGAAACGTCCGATCGCTTTGAAAATTGATACCTACACATGTTCTTCAGGATATATGAAAGGTCGCTATTGTTTTTCGGTTACGTAGACCAACGGGCCTAAAAGTTACAGCCCAAAAACTGCCCAAACCTCCAAAAAGGGTTTCTTTTATAACTCTTGTTACAAAGAACATATGAATGTCCGGTTTTCTGTATTAGTAAATATTCCTTAAACTTCAGACAACTACGCAGATGCAAAAAGCACTGCGCATGCGCATTACTATTTTTGTATTTGCGCAATACCAATTTTTTTATTTGTTAAGATATTTAAATGAAATTTTGTATGTATGCACTTCGAATAAAAGTAAAACTAATGCCGAATCAAAAAATTTGTGTTGCGCATGCGGAGTTGGTTTTTTTAAGTTTGGTAAGATATACAGGGTGTCAATTTTAAAACTTGCAGTCGGCCATATTTTCCAAACTAAAAAAGATATTGAAAGTCGCGCAAAACCGTTTCGGTGGTATCGAGGGGGAACCAGAATGACGTTATGAGTGACAATTCCCCACCCCCGTTAACCCCCCAGCCCCCCTCTTCAAAAATCCTAAATTGCAACCCCATACTTGTTACACATCGTTGGAATGCCGATATCAAAAAATTTGTTTTACATGCTATGTTGATCTGGTGAGACAGAATCAACCTCTTAGTAGTGCAGCGGAGAGACCCGCGAAATCGTTCAAAAATTTTTTTCGGAGTAGAAAGAATTGGGACCCACACCATTTTGTTCAGAATTGTTTGAACCTTCAGAATCTCGCTTTACGACATTTTCTCTTGTTCCTGACAAAAGTTATAGGCCACAAAAGTTGAACTTTACTCATTTTCGCGCGCGCGACTAGACCACCGAAAGTATTTATTTTCTCAGTAACTAAGCGAGATACATCAATAATTCCTGTTGTAAAATGAAAGTACATTTATAGCAGAATCTAAAGCATTCATATTTACCTACCTTGTTATGCACAGTTTTTGGAAATCGACCGTCAACTTCCAAAATTCGTGTAGCAGATGAAAATTGCGCACTTTGAACTATCATAACTTTTTATTTCACGATATCGATTTCCAATATTGATAGCTCACTCGATGCTCCAAAGCATTGTGATTATTTTATTTTCTATAACATTACCGTGAATTTTTCATAATAAAAAAGTTACGGTCATACCTACCGACCTAGCCGAGTCGGGACTCGGGAGTCGCGAGTGAGACGGTGAGGGACGGGTAGTCAGCAGCGTTTGCGCAACAAGGAGCGATGCGAAAGAGGTTCTACTCTACTAAAAATTTCTCTCCGAATAGTTTACCAAAACTAGCCATATAGGCAGTTCATAAATGCATTCCGCCGAGTTGCATTGTACTCGTCAAATCTCAAACAATTCATTACCTCCATGTAATATATCAGCTCATTTGTGAAATATGCAGGATGTTACATATAAGTATGTAAAAAATTTGGGTGGTAACTGGTAAAGGGGTCAAAAACAAGCATTTTTTCAAAATAAACCGAGGGTCCAACGTATTTCGTTTAGGAGCCACTCTAAAAAAAGTGGTAAAGTTTCCATTTCTCCTTTAATTTTTTTCTCAGCAACCATACATATAACAGTTACAGAGACTGGTGGTAAGTCTTTGAATAGGTTTTGCTGTATGCCCTTTCCGGTTTTGTAAATAATTTTTTTTAAATTCCTACCACAAAAGGACACACCCCTAAATAGGGGTGCGAAAAAATGTTGATTTCGACGAAATTTGGTATCTGGTGGTTTTTGAATATAAAAATCACGAATTTGAAATTAGTTTTTGAAAATTCGAAAAAAATAATTCTACTGCAATTCTTGGCCGGACAACGAAAATGGAGAGAATTCCACGAAGTTTGGTAAACTATTCGGAGAGAAATTTTTAGTAGAGTAGAACCTCTTTCGCATCGCTCCTTGTTGCGCGAACGCTGCTGACTATCCTTCCCTTTTCATCTCTACTCGCGACTCCCGACTCGGCGAGGTCGGTAGGTTTTTACTTAAATGACCGTAACTTTTTTATTATGAAAAATTCACGGTAATGTTATACTTAGAAAATAAAATAATCACAATGCTTTGGAGCATCGAATGAGCTATAAATATTGAAAATCGATATCGTGAAATAAAAAGTTATGATAGTTCAAAGTGCGCACTTTTCATCTGCTACACGAATTTTGGAAGTTTACGGTCATTTTTCTAAAAACTGTGCATAACAAGGTAGGTAAATATGAATGCTTTAGATTCTGCTATAAATGTACTTTCATTTTACAATAGTTATTTACATTATTAGTGCGGGAACAGTTATTTTGCAGATGAGCGCGAAGTTTTGTCGCGCGAATCAAGCAAATACTGTTCACGCACGTAACATGTATTCTATTTTTTGCACGGATTAGTTAAATCGAATTGATATAAATTCAAATCCTTTTCGCGAGATTTTTGGGACATTATAATTCTTTTGAAAAAATCAAGTCCTCTTTGCCGATAAAGTAGAAATCTAGAAATTTAAAATGTCAATTTATTGTTCAAAACTTCTGGTTTAAGCTTATTTTTGCCCTTGTACTACAGGGAATGATGTAAAGTGTATTTATATTTTCTTTTTTACACTTCCATCATACTACCTACTTATTAGTTTATGATCCGCACTAAATAGATAATTTCTTTGAATTTTTAGGCACTAGTGCGCGAAAGTAGATAGTCAATTGTAAAATTGACGTTCCCGACGTTCGTGTTTTATTGGGAAAACGCGATTTAGAACGAAAGAGTGCAAAAATGAATTATTGATGTATATCGCTTAGCTGCTGAGAAAATAAAATAGGTACTTTCGGTGGTCTAGTGGCGCGCGCGAAAATGAGTAAAGTTCAACTTTAGCGGCCTATAACTTTTGTCAGGACCAAGAGAAAATGTCGTAAAGCGAGATTCTGAAGGTTCAAACATTTCTGAACAAAATGGTATGGGTCTCAATTCTTTCTACTCCGAAAAAAAACTACCTCTAATAAGCGAGTTAGCGCCAGCTCTCCGCTGCACTATAAGGTGTATTGTACAAATCATATGTATGTGTGAATATCTCGAGGATCGTTCGGTATTCAGTTGTATCGGATTTTTATTTATACAGAAAATATGTGAGGGGGAGGGGGGCTGAACCGTCGGTCGCCCTACGATAAATTGATGTTTCTATGTTTTGAATGGGTATAAAGTTACCGGTTTCGCTAGTAGAAAAGAAGACAGTGGTGTCGCATCAAGTGATGATTGTCCCCGTCCCGTACACGACTACAATCGGTAGATTCAGGAAAAGTCGTGAATACTGTCGATACGGTACTAGGGATTTTATTAATTCGAATTAAAAATTCTCGCACATCGCCCGTGATAGTATTACAAGCATATGTTACGAGTTTACGGCGCTTATTATTCAGAAAATTTACGTAAGTAAGTGATTACGTGTGAATAAGGGTTATTTGTGTTTTACATATGACGTTATACGGTTATCATTTCCAATGTCTCCGATGATTGCAAGGATTGTGAAATCTGTGAATTTTTATTTAATGTTCTCTCAAAATCCTCTCAATGGAAGGTATCTGTCAGGAATGAGAGCCAGTTTCCACCGCCTTCACCTACATTAATTATTTAACCTTTGAATTTAACTGACAGATAACTTCCATGAATGTGAATATGAATACATTTGGTTTCATGGAGATTATTTGTCTGCCAAGTTTAACAGAATTTAACTGAAGAGGCGCGAGGCGGTGCAAAAACTGACTTTTGAATTGAAAAGGGATATTCGGTATTTACACACTAACATACTGATACTTAAATAACTGTACAAACCTGAGCAACGGCCGAGTTATGGTTAACTGATGACTCATTTTCAATAGACTTGTTACATGTGGCATATAAGTCTACTGTGCAAAGTTTCAACCGAATAGATTCAAGCGTTTGGCGGGGACAGAGAAGCGTGACCCCACGGGGTCATTGGATTTGACCCATTTTCAATACGCTTATTAGAAATGGCAGATAGGTCAACTGTGCAAAGTTTGAACGAAATCGGTCCAAGCGTTTGAGAGTTATCGTGTTCACGGACAGACGGACACCATCGACTCCCCTATAAAGCTTGCATCGCTTTTACACAGACATGTAACGCGTAGTTTTATATATTTTATATATGTTACAGATCTCGATAGTGGGAAAAGCAGTATTAATAACGGGCTGTGACTCAAGAATAGGAAGTGCCTTAGCTCGAGTTCTCGATGATCTTGGATTCACGGTTTTCGCTGGATTTCAAAATGCTGTAGATAACCCAGTAGCGGACGAACTGAAAGAAGAATCCTCGGGTCGTCTTCACATTCTGCAGTTGGATGTATCGTCTGAAACTCAAATACTTGCAGCTTCTTTATACGCGACTGCTCACTTACCAGATGGGGCGGATGGACTATGGGCAGTAATTCATGCCGCTTCTTGGATTGCCTTGGGTGAAATAGAGTGGATTCCAGTTGAAGTATTGTTTTGTCGGCAGGTATCGCGGATGAACTTGCAATTGTTTGTGTATTTTAGGTAATTAGAAAAGCGACAGACACAAACTTTCTAGGAGCAACTCGTTTAATGCAAGTAATGCTACCATTAGTCAGACGTGCAAAAGGACGCATCGTACTTGTGACGTCAGGTCTTTCCCGTGTAGCGTCCCCAGTGCGGGGCGTTCATTGCGCACTGCAAGCGGCACTGGAAGCCGAAGCTGTGTGTTTGAGACAGGAATTGAAACCGAGAGGTGTGGATGTAATTGTAGTAGCACCCGGAGAATATTCATCTGGAAGCTCTTGGCTTACCGAAGAAAGTATTCGCGAACAAGCTCGTGAAATGTGGGAGAATTTAATGGAAGAACAAAGACTTGAATACGGCGAGGAATATTTTGAGGCAGCTGTGAGAAGCTTGGAGAAATACACAAAATCTAAGGTTGACTATATGAAGCAGCAACATTTTATATTATTTTTAACATATGATTTATTTTCAGGATGCCGATTTATCACCAGCTTTACGAGCGCTCTCTGACTCTGTGATAAGAACCTTCCCCTTACAAAGATATACTCCAATTAGCAGACAAGAAAAACTACAAGCTATCATCGCATCTTATTTCCCAAGATCAGTTTATGATATCATTTATTCTTAAGTCCTGCTGCGAACTAAAAAGTAAAAATTGAGCATTTATATAGAAGCTACACTATACTTCATTTCGCAAATCATTTTCGGAGAATTGCAGTGTAAGTAGCCTTAGAAAATTCAAAATGTATTGATGAGAAAATGTTCTCCCTACCCTTTGTAACCTAGATTTCAATAAAATGCAGAATCTTTACTCTTAGTTAGAAAATTCGCTGTAAGTAAATGAGCATATCATACCTATCTGTCGTTTTTTCAACATATTTGGATTGAAATAATTTTGATGCGTGTAATTACTCAAAATAAATATTGGAAAATGATTATAATTGATTGATTTAATTTTGGATTGGGTACCTATTATCAAGGTGAAAAACCCAGATATCAAATTTCGTCCACATTTTTTCTCGCATATTGAAAGTCAATAGTCGACCTCCCCGTTACATAAGTTACAGAAGCAAATACAAGTATAATTAGAATGGAAACAATCTAAGAGTATGTCTCCATTAATGAAAAGTGTTGTGGCAGTGGTCAAAGTGGCCTGATGAGTGCCAACTCCCGTTGTCGAACGAAGGTGGGGGGCAAAACACCGCCGAACATAAAAACGAACATTAGGGCGCAGGCATTTGGACTAGGACATTAGGACGCAGACATTGGGACGCAGACACTGATGGGGCGCGGACATTAGGATACAGATCCTAGGCTAGGACTAGACGTTGTAACGCATACACAGATGAAATAAGTACAATAACATTGGTTTCAATGTCTGCGTCCTAATGTCCACGGCCTATCGTCTGCGGTCTATTCCCTTTGCAGTCTACTGTTTTGCGGTCCAATGTCCGCGTCCTAATGTCTTGCAGTCCAATGCCATAGCGCCGGAATTTTGTTTCAAAGGCAAAAATATGTTTGGTAAATTTTAGAGTAAACCGTATTTTTCATAATTTTTACGTTTTGCGTTTTTATTCAGTACTTGCTTTACATGATATGTAGCAAAATAAGTTGTCAATAGTTTTCATCATTTGAAATCACATAATGGAACTTTCTCGGAGCAGGGATTGTACCGCGTCGTTCTAAAGGCTTTCTATTGGCCAATTTGAATTATTTTGAATATATAATTCTCAACTATTACAATTAGTAAAATAATTAATTATACTACTGTTTTAATAAATTTTATATACATTCGTCTTCGTCCTATAAAAGGAATAATTTTTATCACCCAACAATGCTGTTTGTATATTACGACACTGGCAGGCATGCCTTGGTGACAAATGGTCACAGTTTTTTTGAAAGTATTACCTGTCCTCTCTCTTTTCTAGTCTAAGGCTATACACATATTCAGGCTACACTACAGCACTTGATTAAGAAAGCAGACTCGTCCGCCATTTTGGAGCCCACTAACAGTCTGTCAGATATAACGCTGTGTTGTTTGATCCTTATAATTGTGTTATATTGCCAAGGTAACTTACTGTCATGAGAAGCACGTGTTTTGCAAGCGTCAATTGTCAGTGGGCTCCAAAATGGTGGACCAGTCAGTTGTGGTATATACAGGGTGTTACACGACCGTTCGAAAAAAAAAAATCGGGTTGTAGAGGGCATCAAAACAAGCACTTTTTCCAAATAAACCGAGGGTCCAACGTGTTTCGTTTGGGAGCCACCCCCCAAAGAGTGTTGAAATCTGCATTTCTTCTTTAATTTTTTTCTCAGCAACCATAAGAGTTACAAAGTCGGGTGGCATGTCTTTGAATAGGTTTTTGGGTATGCTCTTTCCGATTTTGCAATTTTTTTTTCAAAATTCCTACCCCTAAAGGGCGCACCCCTAAACTAGGGTGCAAAAAAAAATTCTGATTTCGACGAAATTTGGTATCTGGGGTTTTTTTAACATGAAAATCACGAATCTGAAATTAGTTTTTGAAAATTCGAAAAAAAAAGTTCCACTGCAATTCTTGGCGGGACAACGAAAATAGAGATAATTCCACGAAATTTGTTGTGTACATACTAAACGAGTTAAGGAACAAAACTGTCGAACAGTTTTTTAAAATAACTTTTCAAACAAAAGTTATACTCATTTGAATGTTGGTCCTTCGGGTCGCGAAGTGTCCCAAGCCTACTAGTAAGCCATAATTTCGCATGTGTTGGTTGACAATGTCGCAAAAACAAAAGATTAACGGTTTGAGTCGATATTTTGTTATTTGGAATTAATTCGGTCATTAAATGATTAAAAAATTCGATGTATCGATTAAAACACCTACCAAGGTATCTTAAAGCGCTGATCGATTATTTACTTACAGGAATTATTATAATTATTTTTTTTGTTTTGTTTTCCTCTTTCCTGATAGCGTTGGCTATTGTGCCCATCAATAGGTATGTTGGTAAGTATGATTTACATAGGTACTATCCCTAGATTTCCAATGTGCGTGTGTGAATTTTTTTTTTAGGATCCAACATAACTTCACCAGACACAGACACTAATCGTTACTTGATTTTAATAATCCGTGCGATTAGTTAACCAGACTAGGCCTGACCATAATAATAATAATAATAATTTATTGTCTCTGATCAACGTTATTGACATAGACATGGTCACAATGAAAGTTTGGTATAAACAACACACATATACATAAAATTTACAAAAAAACAAAATATAAATATTGACGAAAGGTCTTTGCTTTGCGTCATAAAATATGCCAAAGAATTAGTATTTACATCATATTTAGGAACGTGCACGTTGACGCGTTAAAGCAAATCCAAATTCAAGCGCTTGCGATCGGACGTTGTTGAGGGATTAATTTTAAATGTAAGTGTATAGGATAAAAAATATTGTGTGCACCACGGCACGAAAGTTGTTTTCCGGGCCTCAGGAAGTGGCCAGCCTCGGCTGCGCCTCGCCTGGCCATATCTTCCTTCGCCCCGGAAAACAACCACTTTCCCGCCTTGGTACACAAAGTACTATTGTAAAGTTGATGATGATTTCTCTGAAACGAGACGTTGTATTGAAAATCTCTCAATGGTGTTTTGTAAAGCTCTAAAAGTGTCTCAACGAAAGGAACCGTTTTCTACTAACTACTGCACTTCTTTCTGTCCTCTTATCAAAGTACGGGGAGGAGAGAGAGGGTTGGAATGGAACTAGTTTTATCCATCATGGTACTCTACTGAAAGGTCTCGACGAAAGGAAATAATTTCTACCAACCGGCAACCATAGTCCTCCTCGACCTCTTATCGTGATCGGGTTATTCCCTTATACCTCAGGAACGGGTTGTCGGAAGAGGGTACTGACAAAGGGCGATTGAGACGTCTGCAAGAAATATATCCATTGGTGATGTCAAAACAAAAGCTATTTCGGTTAAAAAAATGCGCTTTATCTGCACAAGAGTTGTGCACAATTTATACTTGTTTATTTTTTATACCTGTTCAAATAACATCAAAAAGATTAAAACAAAATCGGCGCAAATTTCGGTTTTTCTGGTATATCTTCGAAAGTAATCGGCATTTATGGATTTCTTTAAGTGAGATAATAACTTTTTCATTGCACAACTTTTCGCTAATTTGACCATCGTCGTATATTTTATGGTTTCCGAGATTCTCATGATAGGCATCCTTATCTTGGACACTGTATACTATATAGTATTTCTAAAACACTATAATAGCGCAAAGATTTTTGTTTACGGCGCATTTTAGCCCATGATGAAAGGTACAATGTAGTAGAAAAAACATGTTAAAAAACGTAACTTTGGAAAACGTTAAGTTAGCTCCCCCCCCTCTCACTTTTGTGGGGGGTTCCGTTCACTTGGAACCTCCGAAATATATTTAAGGATAACCAAAATACAAGAATGGCGCAAAGATACATTTTTACGGCACATTTTAGCGCATACCTGAGACTACAATTTCGTATGAAGATGTTTAAAAAAAGTAACTTTGAAAAACGTTGAGGTGCCCCCCCCCCACTTTTTGAAAATTTTTCATGCCTTAACAATGATGGCGCTAGCTTTAATTCAAGTGGCGCAATTGAGCACATAACCAAATGTATCAGATGACCTAGTTACAAGCGACGAAATACGTAGGGGGGGGGGGTGGCTACGTACACTGGCCCTTCCCAAATGTTTTTGCGGATTTCTAAAAAACGATAATTGCGCAAGAGTTTATCGGTGGCGCATATGAGCGCATAACGAGCGCATTCATTTTAAAATAATACGACTATCAAATCTCTCGGTGGGGGGGGGGGGGGGCAAGTTAACAGACCTTTTGCAATATCGCTTCTTGCCTCTGCGGATAGAGCCGACTAAGTTTGAGAATGCAAAATTTGTACAAGGAGCGGTGCCTATATCTAGCTAAAGCATCTACACCTTTTCCACTTTTATTCGAGAAGTTGTAAATTGTATTTGAGAACACGTCAAAGTAGATGCGAATAGTCAGTTGGATTTGAGAAAACATCAAATGTATTTGAGAATAGTCAATTGTATTTGAGAAAGTATCATTTAATTTTATTGTGTTTCAGAATGTAATATTATTCCTAATGAATTATAATTAAGAATCAAATTTTTATAATTCCGCTACTGTATGTAGTCCCGCAACAGCAGCAGCAGCAGCATCAGGCTATGTTATACATGTGATTTTGTTTTTCTCATTTTCAATTGATTCTCAAATACTTAATTTTACCATTTCTTGAATACAATTTACTACTCTCAAATTCATTTGATGCCTTCTCAAATACAAATCACTATTCTGAACTACATTTGTTGTTTTCTCAAATACATTTGACTATTCTCAAATACAATTGATACTTTCTCAAATTAACTTGATAGTTTCTCGAATAAAAGTGAAAAATGTGTAGACTAGACCAAGGAGAGTGTAGTATTATCGTACCTAGTGTACCTATTGATAAACTTTCGTGGAAATTAGGAGCAGACAGGCAAAGATTGAAGCCGACTAGTACTATCGCCAAAGTAAAAAGGTCACATTCCAGTTGACTCATGCAGTTTTGTCTCTCAGTCAACATCCGGTAGATACAATCTATTCAGGAGATAGGGGAATGTGCATAAGTCTTGAATTTGAAACCGACATTATTTCTAGTTCAATCATGATTTATTCAATGTGCATTATTTTGAATTACATTTGGAGTCCCTAATCCTTCGCCGAACTCTAATTTGCAGGTAAATTGTTGTGTTATATGATTGATTAAAAACACTATTTTTATTCAGTGTCCGGTTGACGGTTGTAAGGGATAACGACGAATCGTGTGCCCTCTAAAAACGGCATAAGTTTCCCATGGTTAGGCCATTGTGTAATTGAATATCCTTCACTCAACGGTTAGGCGTAGCTTTACGATCTCAGCAGTCTCCAATTTCTCAGACAGCTACCGTTCTGTACAAGAAACTGAACTAGCTGTCGCAAAGTAAATTTAAAGACCTTCACCTTTGTCAGTGGTCTACACCTCATCGCGTATTTAGCATCGTATCGTATAGAACAAGTAGATGAATGAACCGCAAATTATCTCTAGGTTATCAAAAGGAGATATTTAAAGCCCAATTTGTCTGCGAGGTGTAGTGTGGCGGTAATGGTGATTCATAATCATAACAATGTTCATGTGCATAGTTGGCGAATTTAATAATGCATCACCTTGCGGACCAACCCCGAATAATGTAGGGATCAACGACCGGTCTCGCACCTCGAGCAAAGATTAAGGGTGTCAATTATCCTTAATAATGTTAATGAAATACGAAAAGCTCACTTTGAAAAAAGCAGATTTCTAATTGCATTAGCCGATAAAAGGATGATCACTACCTGGGCCGCCGTCGAACGATGATACTAAAACATGGCGTTTAGTAATGCAGGATGTGAAGACGTACTCAAGAGACCTATTACTTAAAGTGTCCAGGTCTACTTGTTCTTAGAAAGCGCAGGGCCAGGAAACAGCACATCCACCTTATCTTCTTCGTTGTGTTTATGTCATTACGCGAGACATAACTGAACGAAAATACCTTGGGCGAGACTTATATACGCTTTGAGAATTACCAATCCGCGTACACGATTAGATTGAGGGCGCGGCTAATGAAAACACGCATAGGTAGGGAGAAGTTATAAAATCCCAGTAGAAAAAACAATTATTTCATAGTGCTTCGAGTAGCCGTTCCGAACACAACTTCCACAGTTCCACCTTGACCGACGACCATCTCCGGCAACTTTATGGAGTTTGGTCGCATCCGACCAAGAGAACAGGTATCACTGGCGTAAAAGGTGCTCTTTTCAGAGCAGGATTTGCCTCGAAGGGGCAACCAACCCCGTTGCCGCCGTAGGTGCCACACCGATGGAGTCATTGCGGTGCAAGATACTGCGGGCACCACTCGGTGGTATGTAGGATTTCCAGCATACTGCCAAAGAAAGATCCAAGCAAATCGGGGGGACAAACTGAACAAAATGGTATGTAATATTGATATTTTGTGCTTGTCCTATTATGTTCCTCGGTACTGTTCCAAGCCTAAAATAGTTGACAGTTGAGGCTGGCTGTCACAGTACCTCCCTAATCCGAATTACATCACTGTTTCAAAGCCTACAAAATCGCGGTGTGTGAGGCTGCACATCGGCAGTGATTCAAATCCATTTGCTTTTCCCATTATTACTTTTGCCTTTTTCCCGGTACTGTACTGGCGATGGCAGTTGAGGCTGGCTGTCACAGTACCTACCCAATCCGAATGTATCATATATTTTTCCCCCTCTTTTTTTTTTCCCCCTCTTTTTTTTTCCCCCTCTTTTTTTTTCCCCCCTCTTTTTTTTTCCCCCTCTTTTTTTTTCCCCCTCTTTTTGGCGAGCGAGGCGTACTTGGTGGGTCTTTTCGAAGACACCAACCTTTGCGCCATTCACGCGAAACGAGTCACCATCATGCCCAAGGACATCCAACTGGCGAGACGCATTCGCGGCGAACGCGCCTAAATAGGAGGAAAGGTCTTCCCGGACGATATTTCAGAAAACAAAAAAAAAAACGGTTCTTTTAAGAACCACCGACTTGATGCGATAAGAAAAAAGAGAACCTACTCGTATACTTGCATCCCCTGATCCGCATGTTGACTTTTCCTTATTCCGTTAGGAGGGACAGCCGTCTCGTTTGGCGTGGTAACTAAATCCCCCGCGCCGTTTTTTTTTTCGACGGTCCGAGCCGATTGCGATTATCGCTCCCGTGAAACGATCTACGTGTGGAGGAGTAGACACCGTGTCGGTGATATTTCGAGAACATTAATACTTATCCCGTTCAATATCTAAACTCACTCTCTCACCCCCTGTTCGGTTTGTACCCACACCTAACCCAACCTAACCTCACCTCTCCGAACTGATCGCGCGAATTGTTCGTTAGTTAGTTTAGCCCTAGAACGGTACTTTCTTTCGTGTAAATGTCTTATTGTGGCCCTGAAAAGGGCCATTTATTTATGTTCGAGAGAAGAGGGATGTCGTCTCCTCGCCGCGAAATTATTTCTTCTTGGGCGAGCCGGTCGCCGGTTTCTTCGTCTGCTTCGCCTTCTTCGGTTTGGGGGCCTTCGGCTTTTTCGTGGGCACCTTCGTCGTCTTTTTCGCCTTCGAGGGAGATTTCGGCTTCGACGGAGAGGAGGCCGCCGCCTGCGTTTCCGGAGCGGAAGACGCCGACGCGCCGGCCCTCTTCTTCGCGGCCGCCGCCTTTGCCACCTTCCTCTGGGGAGATGCGGTCGCCGGCGCCTTCTTTTTCTTCGGGGACGACTTCGACGACTGTTTCTTTACCGACGCCGCGGGGGACGCCTTCTTCGCGGGAGAGGCGGCCTTCTGGCGTCGCGGGAGAGGCGGCCTTCTGGCGTCGCGTGGAGGCCGCCGCCGCCGCGACCTTCTTCTTCTTTCCCTTTGCCGCCGAACCGCCGGAAGAGGGAGATGCCGCGTCGGCCGCCAACTTGAAGGATCCCGACGCGCCTTTGCCCTTCGTCTGGATTAGGGCGCCGGAGGCGACCGCTCCCTTGATGTACTTCTTAATGAACGGCGCCATCTTTTCGGCGTCGATCTTGTACGTCGTCACGAGGTACTTCTTGATCGCCTGAAGCGACGATCCGCCGCGCTCCTTGAGACTCTTGATCGCCCCGTTGACCATGTCGGCCGTCGGAGGATGGGACGGCTTAGAGCGGGCGCCCCCCTTTGTTCCCTTCTTCTGCTGCTGCGAGGAGCTCGCGAGAGCCTTCTTGGCGGCGGCGGGAGGAGAGGCTCCCCCGCCGCCGGTAGACGCTTCGGACGTCTGATTCGCGACCGCCGTGTCTGCCATGATTACGCTCGTCGGGGTTGATAAGATCGTGAAATGTTATAATAGATGATAAAACGTCGCCGAGGATACCGCGCCGAGTTAGAACGTGCGTTTGTATGAGAGCCGCGTTCGAATCTCGGTAACCCCCTCGAAGCGCTCGGACCGCTTACGGAATTCCCGCGAACCGCGGCGCGCGGTCTGTCTTCTCCTTCAACGGTTCTCTTGCTCGAGATGCTTCCGTTTCGACGACCGCGACGCCGTACCGACCGCCGTTTCGACGTCCGCCCGCCGCGTCGCACCTGCCGAAGGACCGATCTCTCGACCCCTCGATTCGCGACGCGCTGCCGGGCGGCCCGCGCCTCCGGCGCGCGCCTTAAGCGACGAAGGCGGCGAGTCGAAAAAGCGCCGACCTACCTTCGCCGAGTCGTCGAGACGCCGGCGAAAACCGGGCGTCCTAGAAGTACGCTTCCCTCCGACGCCCAGATCTATCTAGACGAAACGACGAAGGTCCCGTAGGTCCCTCGTCGTAATCGCACCGCTCGCCGACGTTCGCACTGCACGGTGGCGCGACGATGCGCCTCCCGTAACAACTTCGCGTAAAGGTAGTCTTCCCGATATTCCACGTCGTCGAAGAAACGAAAATGGTACGGCACGCGGGACGACCTTCGGCCGCCGTAATCGGACGAGGAAGAAAATTCGCGATCTCTCATTCCGACGATATTAACTAACGGATACCCGCGTTGCCGAAACGAACACATCCCGACGCTTCAATCGGAAAGTGCGGATCGCCAATTTTCCTCCCGATTAACGACACGTCCTTGCAATCGGAGACGCGAACGTTGGCGCCCGCCCGGCCTTGGGTCCACGTTATCGCGTAGATGTGCAATTCTGCAAGTCTCTCATTTTTCTCAGATAAGAAAGCGTATCGTAAGCGTGTCGCGAAAGCGATTGCTCTCAACTTCCGGGTCCGATTTCCTAATGGACGTTATTAAATATGATAAATAAAACTCAATTCGAACAAAGATATTATCGGCGCCCATCTTTCAACACGGAAAGGCGCACAGCTAGGTGTCGCGACTTCGCGAGTCGTATTAATCACCATTGACGAGAGCGAGAGGAAGATGTAAGCGGAAGCGCGATGCCGACTCTGCAGCAGCTTTTGAATTATACAACCTCCGGAAATGAAATTGATATTTCCGTTTGCTTGCGGCTCCTCTATATAATATGTGAAACAAACGGCGAGCAAAAAACGATAAAATCCATCTCTGCACTTTCTCTACGTTCTGTGGATTACCGAAGGAAAATAGCGCCGCAAAAGCATTAGGAGGGCTTTCCGTTTCGTACAATTTGCGATGAACGGGTCACTCGATCTGGCAACGCCGAACTTAAAAATGTTCCCCTCGTTTATTATTTCGCAAATTTCGCGACAACAAACGAAAATTGATTTAATCGGTTGTTAGGCAATCGCCACCCCTTTCCTCCGCTCGAAGGGTCCACTAGGCAGAACGCTACCGCGCCGCCGATTCGGAGGTTGTTATGCACGGCTCGGATGATTAAAAAAAAAAGTAATGGAATGCCGATTACAAATAACACGCATTGTCGTAAAAGTGCATATCCAACGACGGTAACTTAGGTATATATAATTGCTTCAGAAAATTCGTATTCGATTACCGATTATAAATGTAATCCATTACTTTGGCATTTTAATCACCGATACCTTTATTTTTAAACTTACGCCCCACACGCGCGCATAATGTACGGTTAACCGTTCTTTGACCATCAATGATATTAAAACGGTATTATCGATAAGGCCGGATCTTCCGTAAGCGTTTAAACATCCGTATTGGGTAACCGGCGGCCGTACAAAGTCAAAATTGAAATTACGTACAAGATAAACAAACCGCAGGTCTACCTAGTTAGAGACGGGAAAATTCGGAGCTAGCTAGCACCTCATCAACTAATGGAACAAAAACCATAGGAGCATTTCCGGTTACCCGCTGTTCCGATTAGTAAAAATGTAAACAACCTAAATTACTACTATGCGATCAAAAATGAGTTGCCGACATACCCCCAAAAATATATACCTATAGTTCTTAAACTCGCACCAAAATTCTTTATTTCCTCTCGTGAAAATGGAGTCGTGGTTCTGAAAAGAACCGTTTTTTTTTTTTTTCCAGCAAACGACAAAGGCGGCCTCTTACTTGGAGCTCGTGTACTTGGTCACCGCCTTGGTGCCTTCGCTGACAGCGTGCTTGGCGAGCTCGCCGGGCAATAGGAGTCTGACGGCGGTCTGAATTTCCCGACTCGTTATCGTCGAACGCTTGTTGTAATGCGCGAGACGGGAGGCCTCCGCCGCGATACGCTCGAAAATATCGTTGACGAAGCTGTTCATGATGCTCATCGCCTTACTGCTGATACCGGTATCGGGATGCACCTGCTTCAGGACCTTGTAGATGTAGATGGCGTAGCTCTCCTTCCTCCTTCGCTTTTTCTTCTTATCGGACTTCGAAATGTTCTTCTGGGCCTTTCCCGCCTTCTTGGCGGCCTTTCCGCTAGTTTTCGGTGGCATATTTTGCAAATTGCGCGATGTAAAAGAGTTAAAATTTCAACCGTACCCCACCGGCGCTAGGCGAAAACTGATCGATGCGATGATACCGCTTACCTACTTAACGGCTTCGCGCACTACTCTAAAGCACGCCCCGCTCATCCCATTGGACGATAAAATTGCCTACATAAGCGCTCGCGGCACAATTTACGCCGGCAGTTCACATCGACGATCGCAAGCGAGCGTTACTCGATACGTTGACATATTCACTCGCGTAATCTATTTCGTTTTTACTTGATAACATTTCACAATGTCCGGTCGCGGCAAGGGCGGTAAAGTTAAGGGAAAGGCGAAGTCTAGATCGAGCAGGGCGGGACTTCAATTCCCCGTCGGGAGAATTCACAGACTGCTGAGGAAGGGAAACTACGCGGAGCGAGTCGGTGCCGGCGCTCCCGTCTACCTCGCCGCCGTCATGGAGTACCTGGCCGCCGAAGTTCTCGAATTGGCCGGCAACGCCGCTAGAGATAACAAAAAGACGCGTATCATACCGCGCCATCTGCAACTCGCGATCAGAAACGACGAGGAATTAAACAAGCTCCTCTCGGGCGTCACCATCGCCCAGGGTGGCGTTCTCCCGAACATTCAGGCCGTCCTCTTGCCAAAGAAGACGGAAAAAAAGGCGTAAGAAGTTCGACGACCCCGTAAAAATCAATCGGCCCTTCTCAGGGCCACCACTTTGAATTCAAAATAGGAACAAAAAGAAATGCGATAAAAACATAAAATGTTATCTATAATCATCCGACTCTTTAATGGTGGCTTGTGTACGAGAGAGAGAGAACACGTTTTTGCTTATGTAACTCGCATCTGCGATTACCTATTTCGCCGGTTAACTTTTCTGTTTCTCGCGTTATCGTTTATTGAACAAACGAAATAAATATGGTAATTTCCGGTTTAATGGAATATACTGAATAGCGCAGCGTCTCAAATGGGGAGTTTGTCACCGACACTCGCCCTTATTAAACGTCGAGACTTATCTCTGACACGCCGAGGATTGGGGTCGCGAGATAAATTAATATTATTTCCGTTACGCCTCCTTCTCAAATTTTCTCATGTAAAATCTTTTGGTGGTTCTGAAAAGAACCGTTTTTTTTTTGCGAATGTCCCACCACGTCCGCTCTGGGATGGTCGAATTTAACCGCCGAAGCCGTATAGCGTGCGACCCTGTCTCTTCAACGCGTATACGACGTCCATTGCGGTGACGGTCTTCCGCTTGGCGTGCTCCGTGTAGGTGACCGCGTCGCGAATGACGTTCTCCAGGAAGACCTTGAGAACTCCTCGCGTCTCTTCGTAAATCAGACCGGAGATGCGCTTGACCCCTCCTCGTCGAGCCAGACGTCGGATGGCGGGTTTCGTTATTCCCTGAATGTTATCGCGGAGCACCTTGCGATGACGTTTTGCGCCTCCCTTGCCGAGACCTTTACCACCCTTGCCGCGTCCGGTCATTATTGAATATTGCGATTATCGATTGAAAGGCAAATATATTGAAAATGTATAGGGCGATATGTCGTCCTCCCTACACGAATGCGAAGCGATCACTACCCGCCCCGCAGCCGCGACGATTGCTTTTATGCTCTAAAAGTCGGCCCGTCCCCTCGAACTTTGCGTTCGCCAATCGCGATGCGTGGCGCGGTCATAAAATGCCGAGCGAAAATCGCTTCACCCGTCAGTGCACTAGCCGCCTTTCGTTAGTCGCGTCGCACTACTTTCCTTCATTCGCCGTTTCTGTACTATTATTATCGGCCATGGCCAGAACAAAGCAGACCGCTCGCAAGTCCACCGGCGGCAAGGCGCCCCGTAAGCAGTTGGCGACCAAGGCCGCCCGCAAAAGCGCTCCCGCCACGGGCGGCGTCAAGAAGCCCCATAGGTACCGTCCCGGTACGGTGGCGCTACGCGAAATTCGCCGTTATCAGAAGAGCACCGAGTTGCTCATTCGCAAGCTCCCCTTCCAGAGATTGGTGCGCGAGATCGCCCAGGACTTCAAAACCGACCTTCGTTTCCAGAGTTCCGCGGTGATGGCGTTACAGGAGGCGAGCGAGGCGTACTTGGTGGGTCTTTTCGAAGACACCAACCTTTGCGCCATTCACGCGAAACGAGTCACCATCATGCCCAAGGACATCCAACTGGCGAGACGCATTCGCGGCGAACGCGCCTAAATAGGAGGAAAGGTCTTCCCGGACGATATTTCAGAAAACAAAAAAAAAAACGGTTCTTTTAAGAACCACCGACTTGATGCGATAAGAAAAAAGAGAACCTACTCGTATACTTGCATCCCCTGATCCGCATGTTGACTTTTCCTTATTCCGTTAGGAGGGACAGCCGTCTCGTTTGGCGTGGTAACTAAATCCCCCGCGCCGTTTTTTTTTTCGACGGTCCGAGCCGATTGCGATTATCGCTCCCGTGAAACGATCTACGTGTGGAGGAGTAGACACCGTGTCGGTGATATTTCGAGAACATTAATACTTATCCCGTTCAATATCTAAACTCACTCTCTCGCCCCCTGTTCGGTTTGTACCCACACCTAACCCAACCTAACCTCACCTCTCCGAACTGATGGCGCGAATTGTTCGTTAGTTAGTTTAGCCCTAGAACGGTACTTTCTTTCGTGTAAATGTCTTATTGTGGCCCTGAAAAGGGCCATTTATTTATGTTCGAGAGAAGAGGGATGTCGTCTCCTCGCCGCGAAATTATTTCTTCTTGGGCGAGCCGGTCGCCGGTTTCTTCGTCTGCTTCGCCTTCTTCGGTTTGGGGGCCTTCGGCTTTTTCGTGGGCACCTTCGTCGTCTTTTTCGCCTTCGAGGGAGATTTCGGCTTCGACGGAGAGGAGGCCGCCGCCTGCGTTTCCGGAGCGGAAGACGCCGACGCGCCGGCCCTCTTCTTCGCGGCCGCCGCCTTTGCCACCTTCCTCTGGGGAGATGCGGTCGCCGGCGCCTTCTTTTTCTTCGGGGACGACTTCGACGACTGTTTCTTTACCGACGCCGCGGGGGACGCCTTCTTCGCGGGAGAGGCGGCCTTCTGGCGTCGCGTGGAGGCCGCCGCCGCCGCGACCTTCTTCTTCTTTCCCTTTGCCGCCGAACCGCCGGAAGAGGGAGATGCCGCGTCGGCCGCCAACTTGAAGGATCCCGACGCGCCTTTGCCCTTCGTCTGGATTAGGGCGCCGGAGGCGACCGCTCCCTTGATGTACTTCTTAATGAACGGCGCCATCTTTTCGGCGTCGATCTTGTACGTCGTCACGAGGTACTTCTTGATCGCCTGAAGCGAGGATCCGCCGCGCTCCTTGAGACTCTTGATCGCCCCGTTGACCATGTCGGCCGTCGGAGGATGGGACGGCTTAGAGCGGGCGCCCCCCTTTGTTCCCTTCTTCTGCTGCTGCGAGGAGCTCGCGAGAGCCTTCTTGGCGGCGGCGGGAGGAGAGGCTCCCCCGCCGCCGGTAGACGCTTCGGACGTCTGATTCGCGACCGCCGTGTCTGCCATGATTACGCTCGTCGGGGTTGATAAGATCGTGAAATGTTATAATAGATGATAAAACGTCGCCGAGGATACCGCGCCGAGTTAGAACGTGCGTTTGTATGAGAGCCGCGTTCGAATCTCGGTAACCCCCTCGAAGCGCTCGGACCGCTTACGGAATTCCCGCGAACCGCGGCGCGCGGTCTGTCTTCTCCTTCAACGGTTCTCTTGCTCGAGATGCTTCCGTTTCGACGACCGCGACGCCGTACCGACCGCCGTTTCGACGTCCGCCCGCCGCGTCGCACCTGCCGAAGGACCGATCTCTCGACCCCTCGATTCGCGACGCGCTGCCGGGCGGCCCGCGCCTCCGGCGCGCGCCTTAAGCGACGAAGGCGGCGAGTCGAAAAAGCGCCGACCTACCTTCGCCGAGTCGTCGAGACGCCGGCGAAAACCGGGCGTCCTAGAAGTACGCTTCCCTCCGACGCCCAGATCTATCTAGACGAAACGACGAAGGTCCCGTAGGTCCCTCGTCGTAATCGCACCGCTCGCCGACGTTCGCACTGCACGGTGGCGCGACGATGCGCCTCCCGTAACAACTTCGCGTAAAGGTAGTCTTCCCGATATTCCACGTCGTCGAAGAAACGAAAATGGTACGGCACGCGGGACGACCTTCGGCCGCCGTAATCGGACGAGGAAGAAAATTCGCGATCTCTCATTCCGACGATATTAACTAACGGATACCCGCGTTGCCGAAACGAACACATCCCGACGCTTCAATCGGAAAGTGCGGATCGCCAATTTTCCTCCCGATTAACGACACGTCCTTGCAATCGGAGACGCGAACGTTGGCGCCCGCCCGGCCTTGGGTCCACGTTATCGCGTAGATGTGCAATTCTGCAAGTCTCTCATTTTTCTCAGATAAGAAAGCGTATCGTAAGCGTGTCGCGAAAGCGATTGCTCTCAACTTCCGGGTCCGATTTCCTAATGGACGTTATTAAATATGATAAATAAAACTCAATTCGAACAAAGATATTATCGGCGCCCATCTTTCAACACGGAAAGGCGCACAGCTAGGTGTCGCGACTTCGCGAGTCGTATTAATCACCATTGACGAGAGCGAGAGGTAGATGTAAGCGGAAGCGCGATGCCGACTCTGCAGCAGCTTTTGAATTATACAACCTCCGGAAATGAAATTGATATTTCCGTTTGCTTGCGGCTCCTCTATATAATATGTGAAACAAACGGCGAGCAAAAAACGATAAAATCCATCTCTGCACTTTCTCTACGTTCTGTGGATTACCGAAGGAAAATAGCGCCGCAAAAGCATTAGGAGGGCTTTCCGTTTCGTACAATTTGCGATGAACGGGTCACTCGATCTGGCAACGCCGAACTTAAAAATGTTCCCCTCGTTTATTATTTCGCAAATTTCGCGACAACAAACGAAAATTGATTTAATCGGTTGTTAGGCAATCGCCACCCCTTTCCTCCGCTCGAAGGGTCCACTAGGCAGAACGCTACCGCGCCGCCGATTCGGAGGTTGTTATGCACGGCTCGGATGATTAAAAAAAAAAGTAATGGAATGCCGATTACAAATAACACGCATTGTCGTAAAAGTGCATATCCAACGACGGTAACTTAGGTATATATAATTGCTTCAGAAAATTCGTATTCGATTACCGATTATAAATGTAATCCATTACTTTGGCATTTTAATCACCGATACCTTTATTTTTAAACTTACGCCCCACACGCGCGCATAATGTACGGTTAACCGTTCTTTGACCATCAATGATATTAAAACGGTATTATCGATAAGGCCGGATCTTCCGTAAGCGTTTAAACATCCGTATTGGGTAACCGGCGGCCGTACAAAGTCAAAATTGAAATTACGTACAAGATAAACAAACCGCAGGTCTACCTAGTTAGAGACGGGAAAATTCGGAGCTAGCTAGCACCTCATCAACTAATGGAACAAAAACCATAGGAGCATTTCCGGTTACCCGCTGTTCCGATTAGTAAAAATGTAAACAACCTAAATTACTACTATGCGATCAAAAATGAGTTGCCGACATACCCCCAAAAATATATACCTATAGTTCTTAAACTCGCACCAAAATTCTTTATTTCCTCTCGTGAAAATGGAGTCGTGGTTCTGAAAAGAACCGTTTTTTTTTTTTTTCCAGCAAACGACAAAGGCGGCCTCTTACTTGGAGCTCGTGTACTTGGTCACCGCCTTGGTGCCTTCGCTGACAGCGTGCTTGGCGAGCTCGCCGGGCAATAGGAGTCTGACGGCGGTCTGAATTTCCCGACTCGTTATCGTCGAACGCTTGTTGTAATGCGCGAGACGGGAGGCCTCCGCCGCGATACGCTCGAAAATATCGTTGACGAAGCTGTTCATGATGCTCATCGCCTTACTGCTGATACCGGTATCGGGATGCACCTGCTTCAGGACCTTGTAGATGTAGATGGCGTAGCTCTCCTTCCTCCTTCGCTTTTTCTTCTTATCGGACTTCGAAATGTTCTTCTGGGCCTTTCCCGCCTTCTTGGCGGCCTTTCCGCTAGTTTTCGGTGGCATATTTTGCAAATTGCGCGATGTAAAAGAGTTAAAATTTCAACCGTACCCCACCGGCGCTAGGCGAAAACTGATCGATGCGATGATACCGCTTACCTACTTAACGGCTTCGCGCACTACTCTAAAGCACGCCCCGCTCATCCCATTGGACGATAAAATTGCCTACATAAGCGCTCGCGGCACAATTTACGCCGGCAGTTCACATCGACGATCGCAAGCGAGCGTTACTCGATACGTTGACATATTCACTCGCGTAATCTATTTCGTTTTTACTTGATAACATTTCACAATGTCCGGTCGCGGCAAGGGCGGTAAAGTTAAGGGAAAGGCGAAGTCTAGATCGAGCAGGGCGGGACTTCAATTCCCCGTCGGGAGAATTCACAGACTGCTGAGGAAGGGAAACTACGCGGAGCGAGTCGGTGCCGGCGCTCCCGTCTACCTCGCCGCCGTCATGGAGTACCTGGCCGCCGAAGTTCTCGAATGCCTGCAAACGCCGCTAAGAGAATAACAAAAAGACGCGAATATCTTTTTTTTTCATATCCGCGCCATCTGCAACTCGCGTCAGAAACGACGCAGAGATTAAACAGCTCCTCTCGGGCGTCCACCAGCGCCAGCGTGGCGTTCTCCCGAACATCAGGCCGTCCTCGTGCACAGAAGACGGAAAAAAAGGCGTAAGAAGTTCGACGACCCCGTAAAAATCAATCGGCCCTTCTCAGGGCCACCACTTTGAATTCAAAATGGGAACAAAAAGAAATGCGATAAAAACATAAAATGTTATCTATAATCATCCGACTCTTTAATGGTGGCTTGTGTACGAGAGAGAGAGAACACGTTTTTGCTTATGTAACTCGCATCTGCGATTACCTATTTCGCCGGTTAACTTTTCTGTTTCTCGCGTTATCGTTTATTGAACAAACGAAATAAATATGGTAATTTCCGGTTTAATGGAATATACTGAATAGCGCAGCGTCTCAAATGGGGAGTTTGTCACCGACACTCGCCCTTATTAAACGTCGAGACTTATCTCTGACACGCCGAGGATTGGGGTCGCGAGATAAATTAATATTATTTCCGTTACGCCTCCTTCTCAAATTTTCTCATGTAAAATCTTTTGGTGGTTCTGAAAAGAACCGTTTTTTTTTTGCGAATGTCCCACCACGTCCGCTCTGGGATGGTCGAATTTAACCGCCGAAGCCGTATAGCGTGCGACCCTGTCTCTTCAACGCGTATACGACGTCCATTGCGGTGACGGTCTTCCGCTTGGCGTGCTCCGTGTAGGTGACCGCGTCGCGAATGACGTTCTCCAGGAAGACCTTGAGAACTCCTCGCGTCTCTTCGTAAATCAGACCGGAGATGCGCTTGACCCCTCCTCGTCGAGCCAGACGTCGGATGGCGGGTTTCGTTATTCCCTGAATGTTATCGCGGAGCACCTTGCGATGACGTTTTGCGCCTCCCTTGCCGAGACCTTTACCACCCTTGCCGCGTCCGGTCATTATTGAATATTGCGATTATCGATTGAAAGGCAAATATATTGAAAATGTATAGGGCGATATGTCGTCCTCCCTACACGAATGCGAAGCGATCACTACCCGCCCCGCAGCCGCGACGATTGCTTTTATGCTCTAAAAGTCGGCCCGTCCCCTCGAACTTTGCGTTCGCCAATCGCGATGCGTGGCGCGGTCATAAAATGCCGAGCGAAAATCGCTTCACCCGTCAGTGCACTAGCCGCCTTTCGTTAGTCGCGTCGCACTACTTTCCTTCATTCGCCGTTTCTGTACTATTATTATCGGCCATGGCCAGAACAAAGCAGACCGCTCGCAAGTCCACCGGCGGCAAGGCGCCCCGTAAGCAGTTGGCGACCAAGGCCGCCCGCAAAAGCGCTCCCGCCACGGGCGGCGTCAAGAAGCCCCATAGGTACCGTCCCGGTACGGTGGCGCTACGCGAAATTCGCCGTTATCAGAAGAGCACCGAGTTGCTCATTCGCAAGCTCCCCTTCCAGAGATTGGTGCGCGAGATCGCCCAGGACTTCAAAACCGACCTTCGTTTCCAGAGTTCCGCGGTGATGGCGTTACAGGAGGCGAGCGAGGCGTACTTGGTGGGTCTTTTCGAAGACACCAACCTTTGCGCCATTCACGCGAAACGAGTCACCATCATGCCCAAGGACATCCAACTGGCGAGACGCATTCGCGGCGAACGCGCCTAAATAGGAGGAAAGGTCTTCCCGGACGATATTTCAGAAAACAAAAAAAAAAACGGTTCTTTTAAGAACCACCGACTTGATGCGATAAGAAAAAAGAGAACCTACTCGTATACTTGCATCCCCTGATCCGCATGTTGACTTTTCCTTATTCCGTTAGGAGGGACAGCCGTCTCGTTTGGCGTGGTAACTAAATCCCCCGCGCCGTTTTTTTTTCGACGGTCCGAGCCGATTGCGATTATCGCTCCCGTGAAACGATCTACGTGTAGGAGTAGACACCGTGTCGGTGATATTTCGAGAACATTAATACTTATCCCGTTCAATATCTAAACTCACTCTCTCGCCCCCTGTTCGGTTTGTACCCACACCTAACCCAACCTAACCTCACCTCTCCGAACTGATGGCGCGAATTGTTCGTTAGTTAGTTTAGCCCTAGAACGGTACTTTCTTTCGTGTAAATGTCTTATTGTGGCCCTGAAAAGGGCCATTTATTTATGTTCGAGAGAAGAGGGATGTCGTCTCCTCGCCGCGAAATTATTTCTTCTTGGGCGAGCCGGTCGCCGGTTTCTTCGTCTGCTTCGCCTTCTTCGGTTTGGGGGCCTTCGGCTTTTTCGTGGGCACCTTCGTCGTCTTTTTCGCCTTCGAGGGAGATTTCGGCTTCGACGGAGAGGAGGCCGCCGCCTGCGTTTCCGGAGCGGAAGACGCCGACGCGCCGGCCCTCTTCTTCGCGGCCGCCGCCTTTGCCACCTTCCTCTGGGGAGATGCGGTCGCCGGCGCCTTCTTTTTCTTCGGGGACGACTTCGACGACTGTTTCTTTACCGACGCCGCGGGGGACGCCTTCTTCGCGGGAGAGGCGGCCTTCTGGCGTCGCGTGGAGGCCGCCGCCGCCGCGACCTTCTTCTTCTTTCCCTTTGCCGCCGAACCGCCGGAAGAGGGAGATGCCGCGTCGGCCGCCAACTTGAAGGATCCCGACGCGCCTTTGCCCTTCGTCTGGATTAGGGCGCCGGAGGCGACCGCTCCCTTGATGTACTTCTTAATGAACGGCGCCATCTTTTCGGCGTCGATCTTGTACGTCGTCACGAGGTACTTCTTGATCGCCTGAAGCGACGATCCGCCGCGCTCCTTGAGACTCTTGATCGCCCCGTTGACCATGTCGGCCGTCGGAGGATGGGACGGCTTAGAGCGGGCGCCCCCCTTTGTTCCCTTCTTCTGCTGCTGCGAGGAGCTCGCGAGAGCCTTCTTGGCGGCGGCGGGAGGAGAGGCTCCCCCGCCGCCGGTAGACGCTTCGGACGTCTGATTCGCGACCGCCGTGTCTGCCATGATTACGCTCGTCGGGGTTGATAAGATCGTGAAATGTTATAATAGATGATAAAACGTCGCCGAGGATACCGCGCCGAGTTAGAACGTGCGTTTGTATGAGAGCCGCGTTCGAATCTCGGTAACCCCCTCGAAGCGCTCGGACCGCTTACGGAATTCCCGCGAACCGCGGCGCGCGGTCTGTCTTCTCCTTCAACGGTTCTCTTGCTCGAGATGCTTCCGTTTCGACGACCGCGACGCCGTACCGACCGCCGTTTCGACGTCCGCCCGCCGCGTCGCACCTGCCGAAGGACCGATCTCTCGACCCCTCGATTCGCGACGCGCTGCCGGGCGGCCCGCGCCTCCGGCGCGCGCCTTAAGCGACGAAGGCGGCGAGTCGAAAAAGCGCCGACCTACCTTCGCCGAGTCGTCGAGACGCCGGCGAAAACCGGGCGTCCTAGAAGTACGCTTCCCTCCGACGCCCAGATCTATCTAGACGAAACGACGAAGGTCCCGTAGGTCCCTCGTCGTAATCGCACCGCTCGCCGACGTTCGCACTGCACGGTGGCGCGACGATGCGCCTCCCGTAACAACTTCGCGTAAAGGTAGTCTTCCCGATATTCCACGTCGTCGAAGAAACGAAAATGGTACGGCACGCGGGACGACCTTCGGCCGCCGTAATCGGACGAGGAAGAAAATTCGCGATCTCTCATTCCGACGATATTAACTAACGGATACCCGCGTTGCCGAAACGAACACATCCCGACGCTTCAATTTGCCTTCTCCGATTTAGGACGGTCGAGCGGTGACAGTCAAATCGGCCACTTACCCAGAAATTAGATGGTAGCATTAAGGTTCGGATGTCTTAAAGGCGATAAGCCGAAGCGCCACCTTTTCGTATCGCCTCCGGATTGATAAACCCGCTTATTGCGAATCGGAAAGTGCGGATCGCCAATTTTCCTCCCGATTAACGACACGTCCTTGCAATCGGAGACGCGAACGTTGGCGCCCGCCCGGCCTTGGGTCCACGTTATCGCGTAGATGTGCAATTCTGCAAGTCTCTCATTTTTCTCAGATAAGAAAGCGTATCGTAAGCGTGTCGCGAAAGCGATTGCTCTCAACTTCCGGGTCCGATTTCCTAATGGACGTTATTAAATATGATAAATAAAACTCAATTCGAACAAAGATATTATCGGCGCCCATCTTTCAACACGGAAAGGCGCACAGCTAGGTGTCGCGACTTCGCGAGTCGTATTAATCACCATTGACGAGAGCGAGAGGTAGATGTAAGCGGAAGCGCGATGCCGACTCTGCAGCAGCTTTTGAATTATACAACCTCCGGAAATGAAATTGATATTTCCGTTTGCTTGCGGCTCCTCTATATAATATGTGAAACAAACGGCGAGCAAAAAACGATAAAATCCATCTCTGCACTTTCTCTACGTTCTGTGGATTACCGAAGGAAAATAGCGCCGCAAAAGCATTAGGAGGGCTTTCCGTTTCGTACAATTTGCGATGAACGGGTCACTCGATCTGGCAACGCCGAACTTAAAAATGTTCCCCTCGTTTATTATTTCGCAAATTTCGCGACAACAAACGAAAATTGATTTAATCGGTTGTTAGGCAATCGCCACCCCTTTCCTCCGCTCGAAGGGTCCACTAGGCAGAACGCTACTGCGCCGCCGATTCGGAGGTTGTTATGCACGGCTCGGATGATTAAAAAAAAAAGTAATGGAATGCCGATTACAAATAACACGCATTGTCGTAAAAGTGCATATCCAACGACGGTAACTTAGGTACAGTCGTAATCAGGAGTCTGTGGCCCTGCGTCATTGATTTGTGAATCAATTTCAGACACGCTTTTTTATCGATTTCGCACACTTGATAGCTGGTTACAGTGTTTTAACGTATGTCTGCATATGTCCAAAATTGATTCACAAATCAATGACGCAGGGCCGCAGACTCCTGATTTCAAGTGTATATATAATTGCTTCAGAAAATTTGTATTCGATTACCGATTATAAATGTAATCCATTACTTTGGCATTTTAATCACCGATACCTTTATTTTTAAACTTACGCCCCACACGCGCGCATAATGTACGGTTAACCGTTCTTTGACCATCAATGATATTAAAACGGTATTATCGATAAGGCCGGATCTTCCGTAAGCGTTTAAACATCCGTATTGGGTAACCGGCGGCCGTACAAAGTCAAAATTGAAATTACGTACAAGATAAACAAACCGCAGGTCTACCTAGTTAGAGACGGGAAAATTCGGAGCTAGCTAGCACCTCATCAACTAATGGAACAAAAACCATAGGAGCATTTCCGGTTACCCGCTGTTCCGATTAGTAAAAATGTAAACAACCTAAATTACTACTATGCGATCAAAAATGAGTTGCCGACATACCCCCAAAAATATATACCTATAGTTCTTAAACTCGCACCAAAATTCTTTATTTCCTCTCGTGAAAATGGAGTCGTGGTTCTGAAAAGAACCGTTTTTTTTTTGTTCCAGCAAACGACAAAGGCGGCCTCTTACTTGGAGCTCGTGTACTTGGTCACCGCCTTGGTGCCTTCGCTGACAGCGTGCTTGGCGAGCTCGCCGGGCAATAGGAGTCTGACGGCGGTCTGAATTTCCCGACTCGTTATCGTCGAACGCTTGTTGTAATGCGCGAGACGGGAGGCCTCCGCCGCGATACGCTCGAAAATATCGTTGACGAAGCTGTTCATGATGCTCATCGCCTTACTGCTGATACCGGTATCGGGATGCACCTGCTTCAGGACCTTGTAGATGTAGATGGCGTAGCTCTCCTTCCTCCTTCGCTTTTTCTTCTTATCGGACTTCGAAATGTTCTTCTGGGCCTTTCCCGCCTTCTTGGCGGCCTTTCCGCTAGTTTTCGGTGGCATATTTTGCAAATTGCGCGATGTAAAAGAGTTAAAATTTCAACCGTACCCCACCGGCGCTAGGCGAAAACTGATCGATGCGAAGATACCGCTTACCTACTTAACGGCTTCGCGCAGTACTCTAAAGCACGCCCCGCTCATCCCATTGGACGATAAAATTGCCTACATAAGCGCTCGCGGCACAATTTACGCCGGCAGTTCACATCGACGATCGCAAGCGAGCGTTACTCGATACGTTGACATATTCACTCGCGTAATCTATTTCGTTTTTACTTGATAACATTTCACAATGTCCGGTCGCGGCAAGGGCGGTAAAGTTAAGGGAAAGGCGAAGTCTAGATCGAGCAGGGCGGGACTTCAATTCCCCGTCGGGAGAATTCACAGACTGCTGAGGAAGGGAAACTACGCGGAGCGAGTCGGTGCCGGCGCTCCCGTCTACCTCGCCGCCGTCATGGAGTTCCTGGCCGCCGAAGTTCTCGAATTGGCCGGCAACGCCGCTAGAGATAACAAAAAGACGCGTATCATACCGCGCCATCTGCAACTCGCGATCAGAAACGACGAGGAATTAAACAAGCTCCTCTCGGGCGTCACCATCGCCCAGGGTGGCGTTCTCCCGAACATTCAGGCCGTCCTCTTGCCAAAGAAGACGGAAAAAAAGGCGTAAGAAGTTCGACGACCCCGTAAAAATCAATCGGCCCTTCTCAGGGCCACCACTTTGAATTCAAAATAGGAACAAAAAGAAATGCGATAAAAACATAAAATGTTATCTATAATCATCCGACTCTTTAATGGTGGCTTGTGTACGAGAGAGAGAGAACACGTTTTTGCTTATGTAACTCGCATCTGCGATTACCTATTTCGCCGGTTAACTTTTCTGTTTCTCGCGTTATCGTTTATTGAACAAACGAAATAAATATGGTAATTTCCGGTTTAATGGAATATACTGAATAGCGCAGCGTCTCAAATGGGGAGTTTGTCACCGACACTCGCCCTTATTAAACGTCGAGACTTATCTCTGACACGCCGAGGATTGGGGTCGCGAGATAAATTAATATTATTTCCGTTACGCCTCCTTCTCAAATTTTCTCATGTAAAATCTTTTGGTGGTTCTGAAAAGAACCGTTTTTTTTTTGCGAATGTCCCACCACGTCCGCTCTGGGATGGTCGAATTTAACCGCCGAAGCCGTATAGCGTGCGACCCTGTCTCTTCAACGCGTATACGACGTCCATTGCGGTGACGGTCTTCCGCTTGGCGTGCTCCGTGTAGGTGACCGCGTCGCGAATGACGTTCTCCAGGAAGACCTTGAGAACTCCTCGCGTCTCTTCGTAAATCAGACCGGAGATGCGCTTGACCCCTCCTCGTCGAGCCAGACGTCGGATGGCGGGTTTCGTTATTCCCTGAATGTTATCGCGGAGCACCTTGCGATGACGTTTTGCGCCTCCCTTGCCGAGACCTTTACCACCCTTGCCGCGTCCGGTCATTATTGAATATTGCGATTATCGATTGAAAGGCAAATATATTGAAAATGTATAGGGCGATATGTCGTCCTCCCTACACGAATGCGAAGCGATCACTACCCGCCCCGCAGCCGCGACGATTGCTTTTATGCTCTAAAAGTCGGCCCGTCCCCTCGAACTTTGCGTTCGCCAATCGCGATGCGTGGCGCGGTCATAAAATGCCGAGCGAAAATCGCTTCACCCGTCAGTGCACTAGCCGCCTTTCGTTAGTCGCGTCGCACTACTTTCCTTCATTCGCCGTTTCTGTACTATTATTATCGGCCATGGCCAGAACAAAGCAGACCGCTCGCAAGTCCACCGGCGGCAAGGCGCCCCGTAAGCAGTTGGCGACCAAGGCCGCCCGCAAAAGCGCTCCCGCCACGGGCGGCGTCAAGAAGCCCCATAGGTACCGTCCCGGTACGGTGGCGCTACGCGAAATTCGCCGTTATCAGAAGAGCACCGAGTTGCTCATTCGCAAGCTCCCCTTCCAGAGATTGGTGCGCGAGATCGCCCAGGACTTCAAAACCGACCTTCGTTTCCAGAGTTCCGCGGTGATGGCGTTACAGGAGGCGAGCGAGGCGTACTTGGTGGGTCTTTTCGAAGACACCAACCTTTGCGCCATTCACGCGAAACGAGTCACCATCATGCCCAAGGACATCCAACTGGCGAGACGCATTCGCGGCGAACGCGCCTAAATAGGAGGAAAGGTCTTCCCGGACGATATTTCAGAAAACAAAAAAAAAAACGGTTCTTTTAAGAACCACCGACTTGATGCGATAAGAAAAAAGAGAACCTACTCGTATACTTGCATCCCCTGATCCGCATGTTGACTTTTCCTTATTCCGTTAGGAGGGACAGCCGTCTCGTTTGGCGTGGTAACTAAATCCCCCGCGCCGTTTTTTTTTTCGACGGTCCGAGCCGATTGCGATTATCGCTCCCGTGAAACGATCTACGTGTGGAGGAGTAGACACCGTGTCGGTGATATTTCGAGAACATTAATACTTATCCCGTTCAATATCTAAACTCACTCTCTCACCCCCTGTTCGGTTTGTACCCACACCTAACCCAACCTAACCTCACCTCTCCGAACTGATCGCGCGAATTGTTCGTTAGTTAGTTTAGCCCTAGAACGGTACTTTCTTTCGTGTAAATGTCTTATTGTGGCCCTGAAAAGGGCCATTTATTTATGTTCGAGAGAAGAGGGATGTCGTCTCCTCGCCGCGAAATTATTTCTTCTTGGGCGAGCCGGTCGCCGGTTTCTTCGTCTGCTTCGCCTTCTTCGGTTTGGGGGCCTTCGGCTTTTTCGTGGGCACCTTCGTCGTCTTTTTCGCCTTCGAGGGAGATTTCGGCTTCGACGGAGAGGAGGCCGCCGCCTGCGTTTCCGGAGCGGAAGACGCCGACGCGCCGGCCCTCTTCTTCGCGGCCGCCGCCTTTGCCACCTTCCTCTGGGGAGATGCGGTCGCCGGCGCCTTCTTTTTCTTCGGGGACGACTTCGACGACTGTTTCTTTACCGACGCCGCGGGGGACGCCTTCTTCGCGGGAGAGGCGGCCTTCTGGCGTCGCGTGGAGGCCGCCGCCGCCGCGACCTTCTTCTTCTTTCCCTTTGCCGCCGAACCGCCGGAAGAGGGAGATGCCGCGTCGGCCGCCAACTTGAAGGATCCCGACGCGCCTTTGCCCTTCGTCTGGATTAGGGCGCCGGAGGCGACCGCTCCCTTGATGTACTTCTTAATGAACGGCGCCATCTTTTCGGCGTCGATCTTGTACGTCGTCACGAGGTACTTCTTGATCGCCTGAAGCGACGATCCGCCGCGCTCCTTGAGACTCTTGATCGCCCCGTTGACCATGTCGGCCGTCGGAGGATGGGACGGCTTAGAGCGGGCGCCCCCCTTTGTTCCCTTCTTCTGCTGCTGCGAGGAGCTCGCGAGAGCCTTCTTGGCGGCGGCGGGAGGAGAGGCTCCCCCGCCGCCGGTAGACGCTTCGGACGTCTGATTCGCGACCGCCGTGTCTGCCATGATTACGCTCGTCGGGGTTGATAAGATCGTGAAATGTTATAATAGATGATAAAACGTCGCCGAGGATACCGCGCCGAGTTAGAACGTGCGTTTGTATGAGAGCCGCGTTCGAATCTCGGTAACCCCCTCGAAGCGCTCGGACCGCTTACGGAATTCCCGCGAACCGCGGCGCGCGGTCTGTCTTCTCCTTCAACGGTTCTCTTGCTCGAGATGCTTCCGTTTCGACGACCGCGACGCCGTACCGACCGCCGTTTCGACGTCCGCCCGCCGCGTCGCACCTGCCGAAGGACCGATCTCTCGACCCCTCGATTCGCGACGCGCTGCCGGGCGGCCCGCGCCTCCGGCGCGCGCCTTAAGCGACGAAGGCGGCGAGTCGAAAAAGCGCCGACCTACCTTCGCCGAGTCGTCGAGACGCCGGCGAAAACCGGGCGTCCTAGAAGTACGCTTCCCTCCGACGCCCAGATCTATCTAGACGAAACGACGAAGGTCCCGTAGGTCCCTCGTCGTAATCGCACCGCTCGCCGACGTTCGCACTGCACGGTGGCGCGACGATGCGCCTCCCGTAACAACTTCGCGTAAAGGTAGTCTTCCCGATATTCCACGTCGTCGAAGAAACGAAAATGGTACGGCACGCGGGACGACCTTCGGCCGCCGTAATCGGACGAGGAAGAAAATTCGCGATCTCTCATTCCGACGATATTAACTAACGGATACCCGCGTTGCCGAAACGAACACATCCCGACGCTTCAATTTGCCTTCTCCGATTTAGGACGGTCGAGCGGTGACAGTCAAATCGGCCACTTACCCAGAAATTAGATGGTAGCATTAAGGTTCGGATGTCTTAAAGGCGATAAGCCGAAGCGCCACCTTTTCGTATCGCCTCCGGATTGATAAACCCGCTTATTGCGAATCGGAAAGTGCGGATCGCCAATTTTCCTCCCGATTAACGACACGTCCTTGCAATCGGAGACGCGAACGTTGGCGCCCGCCCGGCCTTGGGTCCACGTTATCGCGTAGATGTGCAATTCTGCAAGTCTCTCATTTTTCTCAGATAAGAAAGCGTATCGTAAGCGTGTCGCGAAAGCGATTGCTCTCAACTTCCGGGTCCGATTTCCTAATGGACGTTATTAAATATGATAAATAAAACTCAATTCGAACAAAGATATTATCGGCGCCCATCTTTCAACACGGAAAGGCGCACAGCTAGGTGTCGCGACTTCGCGAGTCGTATTAATCACCATTGACGAGAGCGAGAGGTAGATGTAAGCGGAAGCGCGATGCCGACTCTGCAGCAGCTTTTGAATTATACAACCTCCGGAAATGAAATTGATATTTCCGTTTGCTTGCGGCTCCTCTCTATAATATGTGAAACAAACGGCGAGCAAAAAACGATAAAATCCATCTCTGCACTTTCTCTACGTTCTGTGGATTACCGAAGGAAAATAGCGCCGCAAAAGCATTAGGAGGGCTTTCCGTTTCGTACAATTTGCGATGAACGGGTCACTCGATCTGCCAACGCCGAACTTAAAAATGTTCCCCTCGTTTATTATTTCGCAAATTTCGCGACAACAAACGAAAATTGATTTAATCGGTTGTTAGGCAATCGCCCCCCCTTTCCTCCGCTCGAAGGGTCCACTAGGCAGAACGCTACTGCGCCGCCGATTCGGAGGTTGTTATGCACGGCTCGGATGATTAAAAAAAAAAGTAATGGAATGCCGATTACAAATAACACGCATTGTCGTAAAAGTGCATATCCAACGACGGTAACTTAGGTACAGTCGTAATCAGGAGTCTGTGGCCCTGCGTCATTGATTTGTGAATCAATTTCAGACACGCTTTTTTATCGATTTCGCACACTTGATAGCTGGTTACAGTGTTTTAACGTATGTCTGCATATGTCCAAAATTGATTCACAAATCAATGACGCAGGGCCGCAGACTCCTGATTTCAAGTGTATATATAATTGCTTCAGAAAATTTGTATTCGATTACCGATTATAAATGTAATCCATTACTTTGGCATTTTAATCACCGATACCTTTATTTTTAAACTTACGCCCCACACGCGCGCATAATGTACGGTTAACCGTTCTTTGACCATCAATGATATTAAAACGGTATTATCGATAAGGCCGGATCTTCCGTAAGCGTTTAAACATCCGTATTGGGTAACCGGCGGCCGTACAAAGTCAAAATTGAAATTACGTACAAGATAAACAAACCGCAGGTCTACCTAGTTAGAGACGGGAAAATTCGGAGCTAGCTAGCACCTCATCAACTAATGGAACAAAAACCATAGGAGCATTTCCGGTTACCCGCTGTTCCGATTAGTAAAAATGTAAACAACCTAAATTACTACTATGCGATCAAAAATGAGTTGCCGACATACCCCCAAAAATATATACCTATAGTTCTTAAACTCGCACCAAAATTCTTTATTTCCTCTCGTGAAAATGGAGTCGTGGTTCTGAAAAGAACCGTTTTTTTTTTGTTCCAGCAAACGACAAAGGCGGCCTCTTACTTGGAGCTCGTGTACTTGGTCACCGCCTTGGTGCCTTCGCTGACAGCGTGCTTGGCGAGCTCGCCGGGCAATAGGAGTCTGACGGCGGTCTGAATTTCCCGACTCGTTATCGTCGAACGCTTGTTGTAATGCGCGAGACGGGAGGCCTCCGCCGCGATACGCTCGAAAATATCGTTGACGAAGCTGTTCATGATGCTCATCGCCTTACTGCTGATACCGGTATCGGGATGCACCTGCTTCAGGACCTTGTAGATGTAGATGGCGTAGCTCTCCTTCCTCCTTCGCTTTTTCTTCTTATCGGACTTCGAAATGTTCTTCTGGGCCTTTCCCGCCTTCTTGGCGGCCTTTCCGCTAGTTTTCGGTGGCATATTTTGCAAATTGCGCGATGTAAAAGAGTTAAAATTTCAACCGTACCCCACCGGCGCTAGGCGAAAACTGATCGATGCGAAGATACCGCTTACCTACTTAACGGCTTCGCGCAGTACTCTAAAGCACGCCCCGCTCATCCCATTGGACGATAAAATTGCCTACATAAGCGCTCGCGGCACAATTTACGCCGGCAGTTCACATCGACGATCGCAAGCGAGCGTTACTCGATACGTTGACATATTCACTCGCGTAATCTATTTCGTTTTTACTTGATAACATTTCACAATGTCCGGTCGCGGCAAGGGCGGTAAAGTTAAGGGAAAGGCGAAGTCTAGATCGAGCAGGGCGGGACTTCAATTCCCCGTCGGGAGAATTCACAGACTGCTGAGGAAGGGAAACTACGCGGAGCGAGTCGGTGCCGGCGCTCCCGTCTACCTCGCCGCCGTCATGGAGTTCCTGGCCGCCGAAGTTCTCGAATTGGCCGGCAACGCCGCTAGAGATAACAAAAAGACGCGTATCATACCGCGCCATCTGCAACTCGCGATCAGAAACGACGAGGAATTAAACAAGCTCCTCTCGGGCGTCACCATCGCCCAGGGTGGCGTTCTCCCGAACATTCAGGCCGTCCTCTTGCCAAAGAAGACGGAAAAAAAGGCGTAAGAAGTTCGACGACCCCGTAAAAATCAATCGGCCCTTCTCAGGGCCACCACTTTGAATTCAAAATAGGAACAAAAAGAAATGCGATAAAAACATAAAATGTTATCTATAATCATCCGACTCTTTAATGGTGGCTTGTGTACGAGAGAGAGAGAGAACACGTTTTTGCTTATGTAACTCGCATCTGCGATTACCTATTTCGCCGGTTAACTTTTCTGTTTCTCGCGTTATCGTTTATTGAACAAACGAAATAAATATGGTAATTTCCGGTTTAATGGAATATACTGAATAGCGCAGCGTCTCAAATGGGGAGTTTGTCACCGACACTCGCCCTTATTAAACGTCGAGACTTATCTCTGACACGCCGAGGATTGGGGTCGCGAGATAAATTAATATTATTTCCGTTACGCCTCCTTCTCAAATTTTCTCATGTAAAATCTTTTGGTGGTTCTGAAAAGAACCGTTTTTTTTTTTTGCGAATGTCCCACCACGTCCGCTCTGGGATGGTCGAATTTAACCGCCGAAGCCGTATAGCGTGCGACCCTGTCTCTTCAACGCGTATACGACGTCCATTGCGGTGACGGTCTTCCGCTTGGCGTGCTCCGTGTAGGTGACCGCGTCGCGAATGACGTTCTCCAGGAAGACCTTGAGAACTCCTCGCGTCTCTTCGTAAATCAGACCGGAGATGCGCTTGACCCCTCCTCGTCGAGCCAGACGTCGGATGGCGGGTTTCGTTATTCCCTGAATGTTATCGCGGAGCACCTTGCGATGACGTTTTGCGCCTCCCTTGCCGAGACCTTTACCACCCTTGCCGCGTCCGGTCATTATTGAATATTGCGATTATCGATTGAAAGGCAAATATATTGAAAATGTATAGGGCGATATGTCGTCCTCCCTACACGAATGCGAAGCGATCACTACCCGCCCCGCAGCCGCGACGATTGCTTTTATGCTCTAAAAGTCGGCCCGTCCCCTCGAACTTTGCGTTCGCCAATCGCGATGCGTGGCGCGGTCATAAAATGCCGAGCGAAAATCGCTTCCCCCCCCCCCCCCCGAGAGTTCTCTGCAGACACCGGTCGTGTAACCATCACCAGCGCTCTTCAGAGTCCAACGTCAAGAGTAAGCAGCCGAAACCAGTCGTGCCGTTCCGATACCACTCGGAGCGGATCGCCACTTCAGGAAGCAGCCCGCTCTCAACCGCAAGCAGAAGAGAGAAAGACGTCAGCGGATAAGGTGCTCTTCTCAGAGCAGTGCCCAACAGGGCAACCGTCGCGAACAACTCTCCGACGCCAGCAGCCACCATGAACAGCAACAACCCGTACCGCACCAACGCGACGATACCAGCATCCACCATGAAACCAGCATCCACCACGCCATCAACACCCACCGCGCCACGAGCCTCCACCATACCACCAGCATCCACCTCACCGCCAACACCTACCACGCTAGCAGCCGCGCCACTTCCGGACGAGGACAATGCCGTCGCGATGGATCTGGCGGAAATACCACCACCACCACCACCTGCTACCCCCGCGATCAAGCGGAGCAAACGACAAAAAGAAACCCACCGCACGGAATCCGAGTCAAACCCCTCGGAAACGGACTGCGCTGGACCGGCAAGCTACGCAGGTGCCGCAAGCGCCAAAAACGCCAACACCCGCCGTACCGACCCCGCGCCGTCAACCCACGCACCTACCAACACAACAACCAGCACCGCCACCAACCAACCAAGAATACCACCAGTCTTCATTCCTAGCCTGGACAACTTCGTGGCCCATGCGAGAGGACTGGAAGCAATTGCCGGTAAGCCAGTAAACATCCGAGCTGCAGGCAAGGGCGCCAGAATCCACGCGGAAAGCGCCAACCAATTTCGCATGGTTCAAGACTACCTACGTCGGAACGCGATCGAGTTCCACACGTTCACCCTTTCCACCGAACGTGAGATCAAGGTGGCGATAAAGGGACTCGCTTCCTGCCTCAGCCCCGAAGAAATCGCCGAAGAGTTGAAGAGCCGAGGTTTCCAGCCCTCGTACGTGAGGAAGCTTCAGGCAAGCGGTCGCGAAGACAGCAACGTGTTCCTTGCCACCATCAAGAACCTGCCCGGCGCCAGTGCAATATACAGCATAACCAACATGCTGTACTGTTACGGCGTCAAAATTGAAGCCTTCAGACCCCAGAGGGAAATCCCGCAGTGCTTCGCGTGTCAGCGTTTCGGGCACTCAAGCGTTAACTGCGGGTACTCGCCCCGATGCGTCCGCTGTGCAAGACCGCACAAAGCCGCAGACTGCCCCAAGCCGCGGGAAGACAAGCCTACCTGTGCCAACTGCACCGGGGAACATCCGGCCAACTACAGAGGGTGTCCAGCATACGCCGCCGAGCTGAACAAAAAACAGCGTGTACACGAACGAACGCACGTCCCTCTACTTGCAACCCCCGCAACGAGCTTTCGGCCCCAACCACCGGCTCCGACAAGTGACACCGCATCCTCCTCTGAAGACGAAAGATGGGAGAAGGCCACCACTCGCAAGAAGAGGAGAAACGCCACCAGGAAGCATAACGGTGTCAAACCACAGGACACAGTCTTACAACTAAACGAAACCGTCACCGGGGAAACCGCAAGACCCGCCACTGCAACCGCACGAGAACACATCCGCAAACCAGCGGCAAAACCGGTACGGTCCCGAAACCAAAAACACCAACCGTAACTTTCCCTGCGGGAACACATCAACGAACCGACAGTCCGGCACCCGCCTCCAGTTTCGCCAGAGAGCAGCCGGCCCAGACCATCAAGCTCCTCGGGTACGAGGTCCACACCGACCTGATACAGTTATGGGTAACGAAGCTACTACAAGCATACGTAGCGGACGAACTATCCATCTCGCTAATACTATATAGCTATTACCGACATTTGCCGCCCGTGTCATGGATAACGTCACCAACACCCGACAAAAATCACCATCCTGCAGTGGAACGTCAACGGCGTCAGAGACAAGAAAATCGTCCTCCAACATATCCTGTCTGACAACAATGTGGACGTAGCCATGATTGGCGAAACCCACCTCGCCAGCCACACGATGTTCAGTATGCCAAACTACACGGTATACAGAACAGACCGGCCGTTGACAAATGGAGCTCCAGCAAGAGGCGGTACGGCGATAATGGTACACAAGCGAGTGGTGCATCAAACCGTGAACCTTCCTAACAACAACATGGAAGCCACGGGGGTGGAAGTTAAAATCGGGGGCGTACCTTCCAATATCGTCGCAGTATACAGAAGCCCCAGGGTTCCGCTCAGGATGGAAGACATCGACGACATCCTGTCACTAAAAGACCCCACAATAATGGCAGGCGATCTGAACGCCAAACACCCGCACTGGGGCTCCAGATCCACCAACCCAGCCGGCAACACACTCCAACTGCACTCGCAACAAAGAACGTTCGAAGTAGTGGGCCCGAACAACCCCACGCACATCCCCTACAACCCTGACCACGAACCCGACATAATAGACGTCACGGTGCTACAAGCCCTACCGTTTCCATACGAAATCTAAGCAATATACAGTGGAGCCTCCGACCATCTGCCAATCATCATGACGGTACACGCAAACCCGGCGAGTGCAGCACGAATCAATAAGAAAACCACGACGAACTGGAAAAAGTACAACGAACAGCTCCAGCGTACCATCACCACAGGCAACCCCACGATTAGAAACCCAGAAGAGCTAGAAGAAGGCGTGCGAACGCTGACGGAGGCTCTTCAAACAGCGCTCAATGACAACACAAAAACGAAGCCGTTCAAACAAGGCAAAAGAACGCCGCAATACCTGAGAAACGAGATCAGGGAGAAAAGACGCCTGGTAAGGCTCTGGCAAATTACCAGGGACCCTGCTGTCAAACGCCAAGTGAACGCCAAACAGGCCGCCTTAAAGGAGGCACTTCGGCGGCACAACAATGAAGAGTGGGCAGCTCACATCGACAGAACCCTAGAAAAAACAGGCCACGTCTTTAAAATCGGCAAAGTTCTCACAAAGAAAAAAGCACCCGCCTACCCCCTGAAGACTCCCGACGGGGACAAATACGACGCCGCTGAAAAAGCAGAAGTCTTCGCCTCAACGCTACAACAGGTGTTTACACCATACCCAGCCGTCGACGAGGAACACAACCGTCAAGTAGAGGATGAAATGCGACAGATACTAGAGATCCCAGACCCGAACGAGCTAAACTACATGTCCCCCAAAGAAATTAAGCGGATAATCTTACAACAACACCCCAGACGGGCTCCAGGGCATGACCAAATCTCGTACCGCGCTCTTCAAAACATAACGAGGACGGCGCTGGCCTACCTCACAAGAATATATAACGCCATCCTGTACCTCAAACACTTTCCGGAGTCGTGGAAGGAGTCCGTTATAATCATGCTGCCGAAACCCGGGAAAAACCTGACCAATCCCAGCAGCTACAGGCCAATATCACTTCTTCCCACCATGGCCAAAATCTTCGAGAGAGCCTTGCTGGCGAGACTACTCCCGAGGATCACGATGCGCGACGAGCAGTTCGGATTCAGACCCGGACATTCAACCACGCTACAAATTATAAAACTGATAGACCAAGTCGTCGAGGCCGCCAACAGGGGAAAAACTTCTGTCGCCCTTTCGCTGGACAACGAAAGGGCTTTCGACAAAGTGTGGAAGGTGAGTTTGCTGGTCAAACTACACCGAACGCAGGAAATACCACCGGCAACCATCCAACTGCTGCACAGCTACCTCGACGGCAGAACATTCAGAGTGAGAGTGCAGGACCACCTCTCACAAAGGAAAACTGCAGACGCTGGCGTCCCGCAGGGAGGATGTTTATCCCCCATCCTCTTTAACACATTCATAAACGATGCGCCCAAGCCACCTAACGTGAACTACGCACTCTACGCCGACGACCTCCTGATATACGGCAACCACAGGGGACGGGAGGTGGCCATCCGGAAGATACAGGCGGCGATCAGGGAATTGCTTCTGTGGACCGACCGCTGGCGGCTCAAATTTAATCCACAGAAGACCCAAGCCATCATATTCGGAAATCGCCCTCACAACCGGCTACCAAAGATCAGGATCTCCGGCCACGACGTAGACTGGCAGCCACACATCACGTATCTTGGCGTAACCCTGGACAGGCGGCTAACGTTTAACAAACATGTGGAAACCACCATCAACAAGAGCCACAACGCCAGAATGGCCCTGTACCCGCTGCTGGCAGCAGAAGCGTTACCGCTGAACACCAAAATCATGCTGTATAAAAGTTACATAAGGCCGATCCTAACGTACGCATCCGCTGGCTGGATGACGTACGTATCGGACACGAACGTAAGGAAACTAGAAACGGCGCAGACAAAGGCCCAGCGCACTATAGTCAAAGCACCCTGGTTCGTGCGGAACGAGACGCTAAGGGCGGACCTGGCCATCTCCACCTTGAGAGACCACGTGAGACAGCTGGCGGAAAAAAACGTACAGCGACATTGACAATTCCGACGTAGACCACATCCAAGCAGTCGCCCCTATAGCCGGCACTCAACAAATCATCAAAAAGCGGCCCAGGAGCATCCTGAATTAACGAAAAGAATGTGAAGAATTAATCAGCTGCAACAGCCAAAGCCAATAACAGGCTCACGCTGAAATCAGGGTGACAACCCAGCCCGATGCACCGACGCTTCCCCCGTCAGTGCACTAGCCGCCTTTCGTTAGTCGCGTCGCACTACTTTCCTTCATTCGCCGTTTCTGTACTATTATTATCGGCCATGGCCAGAACAAAGCAGACCGCTCGCAAGTCCACCGGCGGCAAGGCGCCCCGTAAGCAGTTGGCGACCAAGGCCGCCCGCAAAAGCGCTACCGCCACGGGCGGCGTCAAGAAGCCCCATAGGTACCGTCCCGGTACGGTGGCGCTACGCGAAATTCGCCGTTATCAGAAGAGCACCGAGTTGCTCATTCGCAAGCTCCCCTTCCAGAGATTGGTGCGCGAGATCGCCCAGGACTTCAAAACCGACCTTCGTTTCCAGAGTTCCGCGGTGATGGCGTTACAGGAGGCGAGCGAGGCGTACTTGGTGGGTCTTTTCGAAGACAACAACCTTTGCGCCATTCACGCGAAACGAGTCACCATCATGCCCAAGGACATCCAACTGGCGAGACGCATTCGCGGCGAGCGCGCCTAAATAGGAGGAAAGGTCTTCCCGGACGATATTTCAGAAAACAAAAAAAACGGTTCTTTTAAGAACCACCGACTTGATGCGATAAGAAAAAAGAGAACCTACTCGTATACTTGCATCCCCTGATCCGCATGTTGACTTTTGATTTTCCTTATTCCGTTAGGAGGGGCAGCCGTCTCGTTTGGCGTGGTAACTAAATCCCCCGCGCCGTTTTTTTTTCGACGGTCCGAGCCGATTGCGATTATCGCTCCCGTGAAACGATCTACGTGTAGGAGTAGACACCGTGTCGGTGATATTTCGAGAACATTAATACTTATCCCGTTCAATATCTAAACTCACTCTCTCACCCCCTGTTCGGTTTGTACCCACACCTAACCCAACCTAACCTCACCTCTCCGAACTGATGGCGCGAAAATTGCCTATCAAAACAATTTTAGGCATTTACATTTAAGTGCAATTTACGTTATGTGATTTTGCTTAGGATTTCTCTTGCGAGTTGCAATGTTTTCGGGTCCCATTATACTTATTCGTAACTGTTGGTAGCAAACCCGATAATGTAAACAGAAAACCACCAAAGCAACCCCTCCTAACAAAACTCGAAAGAATTATCGTATGAAACATCGTACGGGAAATCGTAAGCAAAATCACATAAAGTAAACTGCACTTTAGATTTGATATTTTCAGGAGTATCCCAAACTCTAATAAGAACTAGAAAATTTCTCCAAAAAATAGGCTCAAAAACCTACTGCCTCTGGTATAGCTCTTGGAAGTTGGAGTTGACAAATATAACTATTTTTTCTTGTAAAGATTAGGATCTTTGCCGGTTTTGGAGAACGCCGCAATCGTTCTAAAACTGTTCGCATCAAGATTTGTTATCATTTGATTCTTATAACTAGGTATAGGTCTTCTAGTATAAAACCATTCGCAGGTAGCCGCCCACTGCAAAACTTATGTCGTTTCCTTTGCTCAGAGGTAGAGCGTTGGGCTTATACAGACGGAGGTCGGGTGTTCGAACCTGGGCCGAGGTAAGAATTTCCTTAGATCAGTTTCGAGTATTCTGCCGGCTACTTCGAATTAGGTTTTCCCGCATTCGTAAGGTCAGGAACATACATAATTAGAAAGCTATGGAAAATTTTTCCTTTTGAAACTGAGGAATACAAAAAAAATCCTTATGTAGAGACGTATACTTAGTTCACGGAGAATTTAAGTTCTGTGTAAAATGTGGGGTGTCCCTTCAATGGCACTAAAGTTTTCTTGTGATAAAAGATTTGCAACTATCTTTAAAATAGGAAAATTGCTATTTTAAGAACTTTTTCGGTAATTTTGTTCGGAGCAGAGTGCAGGATCGCAGGCATATTATACCGGGTGGTGGGTGACTTGAACAACGCACTACAGGGTGTTTTTTTGGGAGCTTTAGTTAAAAGTTTCTGGGAAAGTAAAATAGGTAGGTTTTTGAAAATTTGTACTTAGGAGTTACTCTGAAGGCTGAATCGATGTAAAATATTTTCAAAATGGCCGCACTTCCGGAAACACCGGAAGTAGATAGTAACTTCGTTATCTTAAATGGCAACCCCTATTTTTGCATTTTTCGATTCTATGTGAAATTTCAGTTCTTTTGATACCCATATGTCGATATCTGCCATTTATGGTTTTTAAGTTATTTTGACTTTAAGAAAAAAAATGGCGGATGCAGATGGGACCTTGATAATTGATTACTTGAAAAAGGTTATAGTCATGGCAACCCATTTTTATCAGTGCATAGAGAATGAATAGGGCTTTCTTTTAGTGCACTTAAAAAAAGTTAAGTTGCGTACGACCGCCCCTATGGATATCCAAATTTATGAAACTTCAAAGACTAAAAACTCAGTTTTTTTTTAATGGAATGACCATGTTCTTACTATTCCATGAGATAGAGAATCGAAATGGGCATATTTTGACAATACATGTTCCTATAGCTATCTTTAACAGTATCTGACTTATTCCCATTTTATTGAATTGACACTATTTTTTTAGGATTTTCTTTTTAGTAGTCGGCCATGATTCTATAACAATTGAATTTTAAACAAATCTAGTGACACTAATCCATCACCCACTGTTTATAGGTTAACATAAGTTTTTCAAAAATCGAAAAATGACTCGCAGTGGTTTCACCTATTTTGGAATTTAATTGTTATTTATGGTGAAATGGGCAGAATCGCGGCGCGTGCTTTCCGTACATTCATTCGAAAACTGGAACGAAATTGTATGAATTTTTGGAAATTTTGTACCCCCAAATGCACTACAAACCGTTGAAGCACCAGTGATACAAATAAGCTCTACAAGAGAATATTTAAGAAAATGAATTGAATTGCAAATACAAGATTAACAAAATAAATTCAATGCAAAATATAAAAAACTTCGTTGAAACATTTTTGGTATGGAATTGTTGCTAGAACAGATATCGCATTACCTTTCTGAATTTCCAGACTTATAAGTTGTTTAAGAAATTCAGTTGAACGACTCTGTTTAGATTTTTCAAAAATTTTCCGTCCTATATCCTTAATAAATGAGTTATTTATTCATGAATTATTTAGACTAGAACTAGAATCAATGGTATTAAAGAATCCATTCCTTGATTTGTTTAAAATTCGATTGTTATAAAATCATGGCCAACTACTAAAAAAAAATGCGAAAAAAAATGGCATCAATTCCGAGATCAATTCAATGAAATGGGAATAAATCAGAAACTGTTAAAGATAGCTATAGAAACGTGTAATATCAAAATATGCCAATTTCGATTCTCTATCTCATGCAATATTAAGAACATGGTCATTCCATTTAAAAAACTGAGTTTATAGACTTTGAAGTTTCTTAAATTTGGATCTCCATAGGTGCGGTTGTACGCAACTTAACTTTGTTTTAAGTACAGTAAAAGAAAGCCCCATTCATTCTCTATGCACTGATAAAAATGGGTTGCCATGACTATAACCTTTTTCAAGTAATCAATTATCAAGGTACCATCTGCATCCGCCATTTTTTTTCTTAAAGTCAAAATAACTTAAAAACCATACGTGGTAAATATCGACATGGTGAGTATCAAAAGAACTGAAATTTCACGTAGAATCCAAAAATGCAATAAAAAATAGGGGTTGCCATTTAAAATAACGAAGTTACTATCTACTTCCGGTGTTTCCGGAAATGCGGCCATTTTGAAAATATTTTACATCGATTCGGCCTTCAGAGTAACCCCTAAGTACAAATTTTCAAAAACCTACCTATTTTACTTTTCCAGAAACTTTTAACTAAAGCTCCCAAAAAAACACCCTGTATAGGAAATTCAATAGTAATTTTTTCATTTCTGATTATGGGCTTCCCTAATTATGTTAGAGATAAAGTCTATTTAGGTTTTTTGTAGAGAAAAAAATTATGAATCCATGCATACTATGGCTTTTAATTTTTTGAACTTTAAAGCCAAGAAATTGGATAACTAAAAACTGGCGCTTGTAAGCAAATCAGTGGTGCCATCGCGATATACCTAATTTACTACCGAACCTTTAATATTTATACCGAGTGAATATTCCCAAAACGAACATAGGGAATTAACATGGGAAAAGGGGTTTTTGTAGATAGTTGCTCCCCATGTTAACTTAGAGGGTTGATCATGACACCAATCGAAAGAAGATTTTTTTCCTCGTCTAATGATATACGAATTAGTTCATTTTCAGGTGTATTTCTCACTATATTATCAAAAACTCGAGAAATCCACTTACCAAAATCATGTTAAGCCATGACTAAGACAAAAAGATTCAAACATCGAAATCAATATCAGTTTACGCCTGCCATTTTAAAATTTGTAAAATGCGGTTCACTGAGGAAATGTACATTATACAGGGTGTCCCTAAAAGGTCTGTACAACGCGCTACCAGGTGTTCTTGGTATGAAAATAGGACGATTTAACCCAACTTACCTCTATCCAAAAGTGCTTCGGTAAGGCGCTATCGACCGCCAAAGATTCAAAAAACAAATCGTTATTTTTATTTTATCGGAAAATGGTTTTGCCGATTAAAATGAAAGTCGGGATGTGAATGTCTAATGTAAAAAGGGTCTTTGTGATATATCATCGTTTTGATTGTAGTTGCTATGTAGGTGGTAAAATACTGACCATCCACATCTGAAGAGGTCTAAAACTTTTTAACTACTATTTTGACGGTTCTGAATTTTTAGATACTGAAAAACAGTTTACTTGCAAGCATTTTTTGTCTCTTGATGAATATCGCTATCTGTGATGGTTTACGAAAAAAAAATAAATTTAGGCATGATGAATGGCATGCACCATACATGCGATTGTTCCTCAAAAAATCGGAAGATGTCGGCTGTTAAACCTTAGAGTGGCGTAACGTTTGTTTGTTGTTTCTTAAACTTTAACAATTTACGTTTTGCTTGAAGACTTAAAACTTTAAAAAATAACGTACCAATGTTGCAAAGGGCACAGTTTAATTTATTACGTCGTATAATGCTTTGTATGCGTGAAAATGGTGGTTACTTTGAACATTTAGTACGTTTAAATTAATACATTACATTGACTTACTCTGATGTGTTCGTTTATTCTACATTACTTGCTTGCACTACGGTTTCATAGCCTACTTCTTGCTTGCACTTATGGTTTTTGAGGAACAATCGCATGTATGGTGCATGCCATTCATCATGCCTAAATTTATTTTTTTTTCGTAAACCATCACAGATAGCGATATTCATCAAGAGACAAAAAATGCTTGCAAGTAAACTGTCTATCAGTGTCTAAAAATTCAGAACCGTCAAAATAGTAGTTAAAAAGTTTTAGACCTCTTCAGATGTGGATGGTCAGTATTTTACCACCTACATAGCAACTACAATCAAAACGATGATATCACAAAGACCCTTTTTACATTAGACATTCACATCCCGAACTTTCATTTTAATCGGCAAAACCATTTTCCGATAAAATAAAAATATCGATTTGTTTTTTGAATCTTTGGCGGTAGACAGCGCCTTAACGAAGCACTTTTGGATAGAGGTAAGTAGGGTTAAATCGTCCTATTTTGATACCAAGAACCCCTGGTAGCGCGTTGTACAGACCTTTTAGGGACACCCTGTATATCAAGGTAGAGAAGTACAGTATTATTGCCTAAGCACCAAGATTACATCACGAGACGCTTGCGCCGAGGGGTGTAAGGTGCGAAGGCAATAATAGACTTCTCTACCGTGGTATATATACTATTTTTTTCACTACTAGCACTTGAAGTCCTCTAACTTAACATATTATATTGATAGGAAAGTGAACGGGGTTGGACAGAATTTTTTGTTTATTAATTTAACATGACAATCAAGTGTGTAGCGAAGTACAAGTCAAACAGGCCGGATCTTGTTCTGTCATTGAGATATTTTCAAACAGTAATTTCGTTCGAACTTTTTCAAAATGTGATAATTTTAGGTATGTAATTTCTCTGGAAATGGCGGATGGTGGCAATTATTCATTTTAGAGAACTTGTCTAAACGTTTATTGAGCGAAATTTCGGGTTGTATTTTCTAAAAGTGACAGCGTGACAGTTCTCATTATTGACTACTAGTTAATAATGTCCACATTATTAACCACTTTGAACAAATGCCAAGAAAGCCTACTTTACAAGTGGAAAAAAGGTTAATAATCATGTCATCAGACGCTAGAAGTGAAAAACAGTATTTTGTTTTCCGTGCATGTGAAAACCTATTTCAATTCGTTAGGAAATTTCCATGGCTTAACATGATTTTGCTAATTGGATTTATTGTCGAATTTTGGATAAAATAATGAGAAATGCACCTGAAAATAAGCTAATTCGTATATCATTAGATGAGAAAAAAATCTTCTTTTGATTGGTGTCAATACAAATCCTCTAAGTTAACATGGGGAGCAACGATCGGCAAAAAACGTTTTTCGCATGTTAATTTCCTACGTTCGGTTTTAAAATATTCACCCGGTATGTGAAATTCTTTCACCACCGGGGATAACGCAATCTCAGAGGAGGTCAGCGATGTACTTGGTGATCCTTCATAGGCTTATACATTTTTTACCCCATGTTTTAATATATTTTATGTTTTGTTAATGTGTATTTTTATTAAATAAAATATTACAAATTTATATAGGTATTAAAACTTTGGAATATCTTGGATTTCACCGCGTGCGACGTCTTCAAAAAGTGCAGTAGGGAAGCCTCTCATGCAGTTCCGATGCCAGTAGGTTATTTTTGTTATCATAAATGAATTCCCTGACCCCAAAAACATAACTCTAGACACCTTACACGACCCGGTGTGCCTTAGTAATATAATTCGATCAAAAGTCTGTCTTTTCTAAAAATGGCGGCTTTTCACGGACTTCCTGTATCCGGATTACATTTCTGGCGCTACCATTGGATTCCTCGGGTTAAAATCATACGAAATCGACACCCAGATCTCGTCTCTAGGCCATATTTAGTTTTTTTTTTAAATGTTACAGTAAATCACCCCCAACCCCTCTAAAATCTACCCACACGGAAAATGAACGTGTTCTTCGGGCCAAATCGTCTAAATGGCTCTAAGGAACAGCTGTACCAAGTGGCACCTTGGTATAAGAAAATGCAGTATCTTTTGGTATACCGCTAGTACTATAATAGTCGCGCCAAAAGTTTGTCACGCGCTGGCGTCTGCAGAGGAACGGAGACAGAAGAGATCGTGCGCGTGATATCATATCTGGACATGAATTTTGGGAAAATTTTTTCAAAATCGGATAGGGCTGAGAGGTTCCACCCTGTATATACAGCTTACAACGATACATACATTTTTGAGAGTTGGCAACCATGCAATTTCTAGGGGAGAAAAAGCTGCTGGCGCCACCTAAAAAGCACGAACTAGGTTGTTTTTGGCATCTTGTCTCGAATGGCGGTCGTGAACGTTTCGCTCCATAAATGTTTGTTGTTATTTTGTGTTATTTAATGCAGGTAGTAATTTTTGCATTTCTTTATATCGTATTTGTGTTTTGTTTGCCGCATTTTATATTTTTTTTGTGTGTTTCAATATTTGTTTTTGAAATTTACTTGGTTTAACCGCAATGCAATCATATGTGTGATACCGTTATGCTATTGTTTGTAATTGTTTACGTTTTTGGTGTAATGTTTGCTTAATTTATGTTTATAGATGTTGATTACTTGGTCTTGTCCTTGAAGTTACATTCATGTAAGTGTTTCGCAAACAAAGAAAATCAGGTTCTTATTCAGTAATAGATAAAATATATTTGATTGACTTTTACAAAATTTGAATACTGTCTATTATTTTTTAACTAAGCCACCCACATTTTATACTGCATTTCTAACATTCTCCCACCTTTGAGACTAAAACGAAGAGTCTCTAACTAAACATTAACAAAGAACACACATAATTGCCCATTCATTCATGAAAACGAACAGGAATACAAATTTTACGTCCGAAACGCGTTGTATAATTCTCCGCTTTCGTAACCGTCGTGTTGCCTTCTTCGCCTTCTTGAGAAAGTTCCGCTTTTAATTCGCAGCTGGAGGAATTCGTTTCTTGTTTTGCTTTTTGCATATGAAACTCTTCTGACGTAGCCTCCAAGGGATAAATGCGTTGAATAGGTCGTAGCAATAATCCGTGTTGGGTTTTAAGCTGCACCAACTTCCCGCATCTTGACCTCTCATTACTTCAACGACTTTTCCTAATGGCCAATCAAGACGTTTACTGTGATCATTACCGATTAACACAATCTCACCTACGATAATATCACGCGACGAAATGTTCAAAAACTTTTGGCTTAATTGCCCTAAATACTCTGCACGAAACTGCTTACGCAAATTCTCGCGTAATCGTTGTACATACTTTACTCGACGATTTAATGCTACACTATCTGCAAAGTCACAATCAGGCACGCCGCTACTCGCAAGTTCGCGTAAGAACATGACCGGAGTCAATGGAATCAATTCACTGGCGTCATTGGACACATACGTTAACGGCCTCGAATTGATTACAGATTCGCAATCACACAATGTGGTATAAAGCTCTTCGCCGCTTAAACGGGCTTTACCTAACACTTTACGTAACAGAACTTTCAAAATACCAATCAGTCGCTCCCACCATCCTCCCCACCAGGGAGCCGAAGGAGGATTGAATCGCCAACAAATTCGTTATTCTGTTCCATACCTTGTTACTTCATCCCAGTCTAGGTCTGCGAAAATGTTCTCAGCGCCACGGAAGTTGGTGCCATTATCTGTATACACAACACGTGGTCTGCCCCTACGCGCAACAAACCTGCGGAAAACTTGTAAAAATACTGCTGTTGAGAGCGATGTTACTAAATCTAAGTGTACCGCCCGATATATGGCGCATGTAAACAGGCAAATCCATGCCTTCTGGTTATCTCTCAGAAATACTGGCCCAGCCATATCTATGCCCGTCACTTCGAAAGCGATTGCATCACGGATTCGATCTGGAGGGAGCAATGGTGCTTCTACACACATCTTCTTGGAATCATATCTTCTGCAATGTACACAACGTGAAGTAACGGACCTAACAGATCTACGCCCACCGAGTACCCAATACTTTTCTCTCAAAATTGAAATGAGTCCTTCATTCTTCACATGACAATTGTTGACATGGGTGTCATAAATTAACGCTCTGACAACTGGATGTTTCCCTGGTAACACATAAGAATATCTGAACGTTTCTGTATCGTCTCTTCTGGCAATCTTACTTTCTAAGACTAAAATACCTTCCATATTTCTCATTATCTTCAATGTTCACAGCTTTTTATCATCTTCCACAAACGATTCCTCCTGGACATTTTTGATTAATTTTCTTTCGGCTTGTTCAATCTCCTCGGTTGTCAATTCTCCAAACCTTCGGTTATCTTTATCCTTGCAATTCGAAGAAAACTTACAAATCCAGGCAATCATTCGAAATTCGAATGATTCTGTTGTATTTTGAAAAATATCGATAGAATTTGCCATTATTTAATACATGTAATGTGGAGGAAACTATTCCTTTTCTCATTTCTTTCAAGATTTCTTCTTCGTCGACTCGATGATAATTTTTAGGCCAAACTTCTGGAGCTTCAAAAAGCCAATCAGGTCCCTCCCACCATTTTGAAGTAATTAATTGCTTTGGAGAACATCCTCTTGAAGGTAAATCGCCTGGATTTAAATCTCCCGGTACATGTCTCCAACTGACAGTGTTAGTGAGATTCCTAATTTCGTGTACTCGGTTCCATACGAATGTTGTCCAATTGTCTTGTCGTTTAATCCATTCAAGTACAGTTGTCGAATCTGTCCAAAAATAGCACGGCATGTTCTCTTCAAAATGGCTCTTAATTCTACTGTACAACCGAGCTCCAATTGTAGCTCCTAATAACTCCAATCGAGGTATTGACAACTTCTTGATCGGCGCTACACGCGATTTGGCTTGAATGAAGTGTACCCGTACTTTGCTTTCTACTTCAGCTCTAAGAAAAACGACAGCACTGTAAGCAGTTTGACTCGCATCACTAAAAATGTGAAGACTCAAACACTGTGCTTCTCCTAATCCCGCATTTATCCATCGAGGAATCCGAATTTCCGCTAACAAAGACGCTCCGTTCTGCCATTTCAAAAATGCACAACTGTTTTCTTCGTCTACTTCTGCATCCCAGCCTATCTTACTTTCCCACAATTTTTGAAGCAGTAATTTGGGAACCAGCGTTGCTGGAGATGAAAATCCAATAGGATCAAATATCCTTTGCGCACAAGAAAGGATTATTCGTTTTGTGATCAACTGATCAGTAAGTGGTTTTATCTCGTACACCGTAAGTTCATCCTGCGTCGTATACCACTTTAATCCGAGCAACGGTACATCTACGCTCTCTTCTGATCCAGTATAAGACTATCCTCTCAGTTCAAATTTTGCGTCAGCCATTATATCAGTAGCTTCGCGTATAAAATGTACTAATGTCACTTTGTCAGCTACACTTGTCACACAGTTGTCTACATAGAAACTATCTTGTAATTTGTGAATGACGGACTCTGAGCGAACTTAATCCTTACAGGTTAATAACCGATTCAAATGAAAATTAATGGTCGCTCCTAAAAGAAACGGACTACTGTTCACTCCAAATACAACCCTTCTATGTCGAAATACTATTTCCTTACCATCTTCTGATTTCCACAAGAACCGTAGAAAATCTCGATCGTTTCGGTGTACACTAATTTGTAAGAAGGCCTTTTTTATATCCGAAGTAACCCCAATTTTTTCCTTCCGAAAATTCAACAACAGGTCGGGTATCTGTTCAATCAAGTTAACGCCTTTTTCTAAACAATCGTTTAATGATGGTTGATTCTTTTCCTTAGCCGAAGCATCAAAAACGGGTCTAATCTTTGTCGTACTGTTTGTATCTTTGATTACCGGACGATGAGGTAAGTAATGTGACTGAATATTTAGTTCTACATCAGGCACGCGTTCTATAATATTTTCAGATTGCCATTCAGAAAATACTTGGTCATACTCTTTAAGATACCCCGTAGTTTTGAGTTTCTTTTCAGTAAATTTCAAACGTCGTTTGGCCATATTGTAGTTATGTGGCAACGGCGGATGCCCTTCGATCCAAGGAAATTTAATTTCATAACGTCCTTCTTCATTTATGGTTACTGTTTCTTTAAAAAACTCTTGTGCAGCAGCTTGTTGTTGTAACTTGCCGTCAGCTTCACGTGAATCTGCGATTCCCAAAACGTCAAGCTGCCATAAAGCAGTAACAGACGCTGATGCGTTTAACAAATTAGTAACCATCATGGAAACGTTAGGTACCTTCGTTCTTATCGGCGTTTTACCCATCAATACCCATCCCAATAACGTTTGCATAGCTACAAGCCCACATTTCAAGATATGGTTTTTCCCAGTAAAAATCTTGCCCGCTATGTCTGCCCCGATTAATAACGAAATCGGTTCATAATTATCGATGTCGGTTAAAGTAATTTTTCGACGATTTACCTCTTTATTCCATATGCCTGCAGAGACCGGAGCGATATTCTTACAAATCGTCTGCTGATCAAGTGCCTCAAAACGACATATATAACTGTCATCTAAACTACCGACTTTTAAGTGATACACGCAGTGCTCCTGTTCTTCTGAAACGGTTCCACCAAAAAGAGCATGTACAATAGCCTCAATTCTCTTGGGCGTATATTTTAATGTGTTGACCACTGATTTCAACACATACGATCTTTGAGACCCCGTATCAATCAGAGCACGAACGCATTTTTCTCCGCAATCCCCATAAATTTTAACCACTAATGTTTGGAGAAATACACATGTGTCTGTACAATTCGCTAGAGTAGGTATGATTTTACCTTCAGAAGTAACTTTTGGCTCAACCACAGTATTTGGACATTCATTTTTCGGCTTTTCTAGATCAGGGCACAAATTGACAATATGTCTAGACCCACATAAGACACATTTTAACTTGATCTTACATCTATGTCCCTGATGACCAATTTTTGCACAACGAAAACATGCACGCTTATCAATTAAACATTGCTTTCTCTCATCTAATGTCATTTTTTGCGACTTAAAACATTGTTCAGCTGCATGATTCCCATCGCAAAATGTGCACTTAGAAAAAGAGGTTATACCTGAATTAACAAGACCGGAGGCTGTACTAGTCTTAGTTTCGACTTTACTTCTGGGTTTCTTAAATTTTTCATCATTGCTTAATGAAAAACCTTCGATGGCTAGAGTGATCCTCTCTTCATTCTCCACTTCTGAACGTAAGAATTTCATTAACTTATCTAATCTAGAATTCATAGAATTGCTAGACGCTGCTGCAAAATCTGACGATCGCTGCCAGGCACGCAAGAATTCTTCTTGCAGAGACGATTCTACCAACGGATACAACATGGCCGCACACATATCAATATTCACGCCTAAAGTCTGCAAGGAACGGATTTGAGTCTCTAGTTTATCATACAAACTGGCGATCTCATTTTTAGAATGTGTACCGTCATTACGCAAAACTAGTTTCAACAACTCTCGAACGTAAAATTCTATGAGTAAATCGTCTCTGCCGAAACGCGTTTTCAATCGGTTAACTGCTTCAGAATAATTTCCTGCAGTTGGAGGAAAACCTTCGATGACGTCTCTAGCTTTAGAATTCGGCACAGTCGCGAAAATTAAATATTGAAACTTATCCTCTAACGCAATCGTCTCATCAGTATGAATTTTTTCAAACTGACTCCAAAAGGGCAGCCAATCTCGTATTGACCCGTCAAACTTTTTTAATTCAATTTTGGGTAGTTTCATTATTTTGCGTTGTCGTTTAGTAAAATCGCTATTAGCATCGCTATTAACCTCTTCTGATGGCTTAATAACAAATCTACTATATCTCACCTTTAACTGTGTAAATGTAGCTACATATTTTTCGGTACCTTCCAACTCCTGCAGCATGGTTTCTTCTGATGTTTCCTCTTCCAATAATTTATCCATTATCTCATCATCAGATTCTCTTAAATAGTCCATCTTTACATGAAGTTGTTCCCATGCAGCTTCTGTCTCTACTGGGTCCCTATTTGAATCTGCTAATAGAGATGTCAAATTATTAGCTACGCGTGTGAATACACTCCGACACGCCGCACGTTTATTTCTAAGACTTTCCATTTTCTAAAAATAGAAATGACTATTAAACTTGGTACCCAATGAATGTTCAACACGAATTCAACGTAAAGCTCACTATTACTGACTAACTGTCCAGCAAATCTCTTGTCGGATGTTAGGCGTATGTAATCTTGTTACTACTGTGCAAACGGTCAAAGTCCGGTACTACACAGCAAAACCACCAATAGATTTACACACGTCCTGTCACGGTCGCCACAATGTTTCGCAAACAAAGAAAATAAGAAGTAATAGATAAAATATATTTGATTGACTTTTACAAAATTTGAATACTGTCTATTATTTTTTAACTAAGCCACCCACATTTTATACTGCATTTCTAACAGTAAGTTTTCATTTTATTTTAATATGTGGAAATTGCTGATTCGTTTGATGTATGTACTGACTTGTTGTATGTTACTAACAATTTTCTCCGTGAATGAAGCAGTCTCGGGAAGGTGGAAAAAGAAACTGTAGTATATACCTAATTATGTGTTAGGGCACCTAATTCCGTGCACTGTCTTCGACATCCAACTGTAGGTTCGAAACCCCGAAACCAGGGGCGGACTACCCATCTTGCAGGAGCGAGATTACGCTAATCAAAGCTCTTCAGTTTAGAATCTATGTGCGTTAAATGAGTGGCGATTCAATAATTTCCACATATCTTGTTTTTTTAGTCAAATTTGCCTACAAGGCCATGTAATTTTCTATCTTGCTTTCAACAAAAGGATTTTATTGCACCAAAGATGAATCACATCCTGTGTATTTCACCCTTTCTCAGAATCTTGGTACCTGTTCCTACCTGACCCATTGTCACCAAAAACTTGTTTTTAACCTTGAGTGTAACCAACATTGCGTATATGCATTTACTATCTTTGTTAACTACTGCTAAAACTTTTACAAAATATTTTGTTAATTAACTTTTGGACTGTTTTAATCAAACTGCAAGGTTTTTCTTACGTCGTACTCTTTTTATCCTTGGCAGTGACTTTTGCGAGAGTACGACACCTTTTGGCTTTGTTTGTTTTGTTTATATTAATGTACATCAACTAAATTTCCGGGTGTTCACAATCATAATAATTACGATCATTATTAAACAAACTTTTCACAATTTCAGTGTTTCATTTAAAGTTCCTTCCCTACTGTGCTTCAGGTCAAAGCGTTGTCTACAACTAACGTAAGGGGGCCCTGCCTTAGATGTTTTCTCATGTGCCACTTTTTAAATTTAAGCGGGATCTTGTTTAGTTTTAGAGGGAATAGTCATTCGGGTGGCCATTTTTAAACGTTGCCGGGTTTATTTTATTTCCGTGTTGTTGTAGTGTGAAGTTAGCGTAGAACCTGGGGGTTAAGTACACTACAGGGCATATCCGAAAACCCCCAGATACCAAATTTCGTCGAAATCAGAATTTTTTTCTCACTCCCAAGTAGGGGTGCGCCCTTTCGTGGTAGGAATTTTGGAAAAAAATTTTCAAAATCGGATAGGGCATACCCGAAAACCTATTCAAAGGCGTGCCACCCATCTTTGTAACTCTTATGGTTGCTGAGAAAAGAATGAAAGAAGAAATCCAAATTTCACCACTTCTTTGAGGGTGGCTCCCAAACGAAACACGTTTGGAAAAAGTGCTTGTCTTGATCGCCCCTATCACTCAATTTTTTTTACATGCGGTCATAACACCCTGCATACACATTTTTTTGTTCGCATAAAAAATTTTATAATTTGTTTTAATTCTGACGAGGTATAAGCCTATAAGGAATGTATTAATGTTTGCAATTAATAGAACTCTTGTAACTCTTTTAGTTATCAAAATTGTGTATTTTTTCTACTAAATCCAAATCTGTATCCCTGATGATTATGGATAATTTCAGAGACTGTGGTCAGAATGAAAGTCGCAAGGTAGCACATATTTTTTAATAGCTGTGTGAATATAGGCACTATATGTATAATCAAAATGATTCTAATTATACAGCACACATCAATAAGATGTTTAGCAGCCATTCTTTTCTAATTTGGGAAATCCCTATATAAGGTTTTTTGGTGTGGAAATAATTCTCATCTATTAAACTTCTAGCAAATTCGGAAACTTCAATGTGGTTAAAAATTTCTAAATCAAAGAGAAAGACCTATACAATGTCGTTAATGTCCACTGTAGTTCAATCAATTTAAAACAAATATCAGTGGTACTCCTATGTCCGTTCTTAGGTAATTGTGGTTGGGTGTATTGAAGCTATAAATATCATTATATACATCATGTAAAAAATTTTCATTAATCAGGTTTACACATTATTTCTATCGCTTATACCTTTTCCCGTGCTATGACATGATCGAAACAGTAATACAATTTTCAAAAAGTTCAAAACTCTGACAACACCCTTAATAATAATTTGTGTATTACCTCTGAATCATATATTCCGTATGAGCTGTTTGTCGCGTTCTTCAAGATGAGTGTGCCTTTAGTTGACTTTCAATTACTCACCAAGTTCATACTAAAGTGGTCCGTGTTGGCAATTCTGGATGCCGTAACGTAACAACAAATGTGCAGGTAATAAAACCGAGCAAAATGAAGCGTGATAATTATGGGTAATTATATTTTATCACTTTTGAAACAATAAAAGCTAAAATCAGTTGCACTCAAACTAAGTACTTACCTTAAGAAGCACGCTCATGGTGACTTTAATCCTTTTTGCTCTTGGTATCGTTCTGCAATACCCAGCTGCTTCAACAGAAAGCTGTATGTATGTGATGCTCCTCATTTAAACGTTCTACATAGATGTATGGTACTTCTGTAGTTACAATCATTACTTACCTACTCCAGTTATATCTTTCTTCTTAACATAGCATTCTTCCTATGACGTATGCAGAAACTACACCCTCAATGGCGTAATGTAAGTAAAACTATTTCACTTGCTAAAAAAACATGAGATGCTGTTTCTATCTAGTTGCCTGTAGGTATGACGGTTTTAGGGGTTCCATCTATGTAGTTCACATGGAAGATAATAGCAATTATATGTAAATTGCTTTGTCACCACTCACCATATATTTGCATTTTCTAGGGGGAGTTTGTCACCATGACCAATGTGTCAACAAATGCCAAGAGTATGGGTGTCTGTATGCAAAATGCAAGGATCTTTACTGTCTCTGTGGCAAATGTGGACAAACAATAGCCTCAGTATTAGACTACAAAAATCAACGTGTATGTGACCAGGTTTTCAGCAAAGAACAATGTGAAAGACTGTTAACAGGTATGAGTGTGTGATGTGCAATCGACCTTAGATACATAAAATTGCTAAACCTTAAATTTACAAGCTCTAAGGTATAAGTGTGAATTTTGGAAAGTTTTGATAGTTCGGTTTGATACTAAAATATTTTAACCACAACCTAATGCACACCTAATACGTTTTGATTCATTTTCCAGACTGTTCGAATGACGAATGTACAAGCTTGTGCACTCATCTACTTTGCAATATCGCAACGTGTGAGCCTAGTCTCTACTTGGATTACGACACTAATACAAAACTATCCTCATGCACTTGTGATGAATGTCTCTTAGGAATGTCAACAGAAGAATCTTCACAAGCCATAAATGTGCAAGTAAGTGCTGAACACGCTACTACCCAGGAGCCCACGACCACTGATGGAATTGAAGCTACAACTAGCAACAATATGCGTATGGTTCAACCTCCTGCTCAGAAACCTAGGTCAATCTCCTTTAACATGACACAGTTTGCAATACAACTGCAGTATAACTTTTAGATATTTATACTCTTATATACAAAGATAAAATGATGTTTACTGCAATGAATATTATTTTACTTACACATATATGGATATAAATCGGTAAAATGGATGTAATAGCCAATTTTTATTGAAACGATTTAAACCACCTATTCATCTATTTCAACCACAGGCATAAATCTCATAAGTCTATAATTTCAACTGGTCAACTGGTACTTCATACGTGATTGGTGGTCTTGATGTTAAATAATCAAATATCGGTAAATAGATCTATTCGTGAATTTAGATTTTGTAACAGGAGAGAAGAAAATTCCTCCTATTTGATTTACTAATCCATGGCATACCCCAACAACTAGAATCAGCCCTAGACTTACGACAGTACGTACCAGAACCTCTGATAGGCCAAACAATAAATAAATAATTTTTAGTGAATTTCTCATTCTCATTCGAAATGTATTAAAATTGAACAGTACCATACCAGAACCTTTAATTTTAGAAAATCAAGTACAAGTAAAACACTACCCCCCCCCTTAATAACTGTGATAAAAGTTCTCAAGAGCAACCAAGGTAGGTACTTATCTATTTTGAACAAAGAATATCCACTGTGCGAATTCTTTGGTGTTATCTATAAATATGTACAGCACTTCTGCATCTTGTGCCCCTCTAGTGCAACTAGAGGTACAAACTGAGGTCAAGAATTATTAGTTTATGAAAATTTTATTGACATCATACATAAAGTTTAAATAAAAAGTTATTCTTACATAAAGAAAGCATAATGTTTAAATAAACTAAGAGAGTTTAGTACATTATCAGTCATTTGTAAACCATGCCGTATTTAGGGCGAGTGCATGGCAAAAACCATTATCACATGTTTATAATACATGAAAAACAGACATACTATAGAAATATAAAACTAAATACAGATACAATGAAAAGAAATATAAATTGGAAAACATTGTCGCAAACCAGTTACTTCTTGATCTGAAAAATATACACGTTTGTGAATACATATGCTATTAGGAGGACGAGTAAACAACTATTCAAACTTCATTCCAAACTATTACTCAAATTCAAAATTCAAGCATCGTAATCAAAAAGTAAGGATACAAAAAGAAAAGTTGCAAGGAACAAAAAATAAACTACAAATAACTACCTAGAAAATGTAGGTTTATACTGCCTTAAGTGCCTTTTTGCTTGCGTTTCTGAAATTAATGGTAAAAAATGCAAATAAAAGAAAAATAACACACATGCAGAAAATCAAATTACTTTTGTATACATACTTTATCCTTGGTATGCTTGTGAGAATCTGAAGTTAAGGCTGCTACTTTAGATCGTTCCTGTTCCAATTGAACATGTAACCTTGTTACTTCCTCAGTCAAGTCATTTTTTTCGGAATATAACTTTTCCAATTCTAGTAACACGTCCGCCTTATCTTTCACTGAAAGGAAAAGTCACTATGGATAAGACCACTATATACAAAAGTGTAAAATTATTTATATATATATAATTTCTTAGTAGCCCAAAAACAATCTTTTCTCCTCATTAGATTTTTTTTATAGGGACATGAAATGAATTTTTAGCAATCGCTCTGTGTGTCTGCTAGTGTATGGATGTGTTTTCTCAGATCTTAAAAAAGGTTGAGAATATTTAAAATATTTTTCTTTTGATAACTTTTCATCCTATATTAAATCGGTAAATGCGCCATGACAAAATTAACGAGGTTTGTCGAACGTTTTTCTGCTTTCTCGCATTTCAGTTATGGTTTGAGTTTTACGATCTGATGTTATTTCATTCAACTCAATTGTTACGTTTTTAAACATGTAACCTTAAAACAGGGTGACGCCCAAGGATGCTAAACCTCTCAACAGAAAAGATTGCCGGTCACAGAACACATGATCCTGGTCTACAATCTATGTTTTTCTAAAGATGTGAGCGACTTCCGGGATAGTATCGTATCAATGTTAAACGAAAAGACTTTTCGTTCAACATTGGCACGATCCTATTCCGGAAGTCGCTCGCGTCTTAAGGAAAACATAGATTGTAGATCGACACAAGGTGTGCTGTGACCCGCAATTTTTCCTGGCGAGAGTAATATATAATACAAAGCGATCAAAAATGAGTGACCGTCGAGTCACCTTTGGAAATTTTGTTTACAAGGGAAATCGTACTTAACTTGTACTTCCAAAGGCGACTCGACAGTCACTCATTTTGGATCGCCCGATATAACATCTATGTTCTCGTTAAGTCGCATCTGACGTCACCAATAGACTTGACTGTCAAAATTGACTGTTACCGTGATTACAATCCTACAGTTTTTAGGTAAGATAAGCAGCCCTCATTACAAATACTCTTAAAAAATGAAGAGTTTCAGCAAGAGTCCACTAGTTTATAAAATATAAAGTATAGACAGTACTTTTGCAAAAATAGAGGCATTCGTTTGCAGATAATATGTACATGAGACATAAAAAAAAATATCCATAACGTCAGATATTTGTGAAATTATCAAATTACAATTATAATACTGATTAACGCCGTTTTAAAAACAAATTTGAAAAACTCTGACGCCTCCTGCTTGCCACCTTGCAACACCAAGCTTCTTAGAGCAAATGAGAAGGGCACATTATACTGCACACTTGTGGAATAGGGATCCAATTGTATTTAGTCCCGAAACATCAGGATGGAGTTTAACTGATGACAAATATGAATTTCTATGGTTCGAAGACCCACAGTTGCCACCATCCCTAAAAGATGTCAATTATACAGGTTACACGCGTATTTTAAAAATTCTAATACAAAACCTCACTCTTTTGTACATTAATTTTTGTAAGTTTTAATATTTATTTATTTATATTTATGTATTTGATCTCTCCCATTTTATTAATTAACCACATTTACAGCATTCCTGACCACTGCTATATAACATCGTTAAAATGTTGTCATTTTCACTTCATCAATGACGGTAAGAAGATATCACCACATATAATTTGTATCGTATAACTTATATATTATAGCTCGGCCTGAAGATGACCAGTTAGGTCGAAATCGATACCCGCACAAGACAAATACAAAACGTGTTTACAAAGAATTTCTTTAAACTCCTTCCTCAATGTCAATTCAAATTGATTCAAAATTGCAGTGGCATGCTCACACTAAAAAAATCCACCAAACTAAATAGAATAGCTTTTTCGCGCTTCCGTCTCTGCAAGAGTAACTTATATACATGACAACGTCAAATGTAAAACGATAAGCACGTTGAAAAGACATAAATATTGCGTAGTCTATAATATTTGTTTCGGTGACAGATAATGTCAAAATGTTGTTGCGTAGATTGAACTATATACTCGTAACTGGAAGGAAAACAAGCATATTATTAGTGAAGCCAGAGGAGTGGTAGTATTTTTATCTCTTTCACACTCGTAACATTAAATTCATTGCCATAATTTTTCTATTTCACCTAAATTCATACAGTCCTGTCGTGCTAATAAACAAACTGGGCGCGATGAGAGCGACTGAAATACCACCAACTCATTCTAACGCACAGTTTCAATGGTAGGCATTTGTCGCCTATACCGGTTTCCCTTCCAGTTACATTGTTTATGGTTCAATGCACCGGCGTACGCAAAGGGGGGGCTGAAGGGGCTACAGCCCCCCCCCCCCCGAAATAATCGACTTAACTACTCAGCGACACATCCCGTAAGTTGTCAGTCATGGTATAATTATTTAAATGCCAAGCGACAATAAAAATGTTGCAGTTGCTGGAAAACTACTTTACTTTTTCCTTCGCTTACTTGATCTTGCGAATGTGTACGACATACGTGAAAATTTACATACTTTGGTCTTAATTCTCGAGTTTCAGCCCCTCTCGAAAAAAAATCCTGCGTACGCTACTGGTTCAATGGTTGCCTATTGCTTATCGACAGTTGCTAGTTGCTCCAATGTGAGAGCTTTTCCAGGTCAATATATTGTGTTGCGATAAACACAAGTTTCGTTTCCACAAGATCAAAAGTCCACATATCCCTATTATTTCCATATATAGCGCAACCTACGAAAGTAGAGCGCTTATGTCCTCACGTTTCCTCCCGTTTGTCCGTCGTTCCGCGCTATACCTCACTCTAGACCTCGTATCGATTTGGTTATGCGTTCCAGATGTGCAACTATCAAAAATTTAATTTGACACCCACCACGTTGTTGCCGAAAATGACAAATGCGAATTTTTGACGACCAAAATATTTATTCAAAAGATGTCGTTATTTATGCATCCATTTCTTGGGAAAGGGACCAAAGTCGATTGCTTGAAGCACAAAAAGTGTGTACTTCTAGCAACGAAAATATTTTTACCCAAACAATGCCAAAATCGTTATTTATGCACCAATTTTGTTGAGACAATTTTAACTTGATTCCTAGCCACCATGTCAGAAGTTTTAAAATTCTGTTCTGACGTCTTCTGATGTTACAATTTATCGGGGATCGACCGATATTGATAATAATATCGGCCGCCTGACCGATACCGATGTATCGGCCGATACCACCAATGGCAGATATTTTCGCAGCATTTAATTTAATTACAAGGTGCCAACAAGTAATAAATAAATAAATGAAAAAAAAGGTGGGATAATCGAAAAAATTTTCAGAAATTTCATGAACGGGAAATTGTCAAGGAATTTAATGAGAAATGCACCATTTGTGGCTAGGCACCCATCGACCGCGTCCCCGGGTGGCGGATAGGGGGAAGCTCATACAGACAGATCGTACGTGACTTGTGCTTCGGTGTGGGTAGTGACGATTATAAGCGCCTTGTCGGCCGCGGACCAACCTCCCAAGTCAAGGTATCACATCCACATCGTGACCGAATGCTAGGACCAGCCCTGGGATGGCGCGTCGCTGAAAGTTCAGAGGCACGTCCCGAGGGTAACCAAGGTGATAGCTGTGTTGTACGGGCTCCCTGATGACACGGCCACCGTCGTGAAGCGCCTCCAGGGGCAAAATCCTGGTTTCAGGACGAGTCTATGGAGGACGTTCTTCCGCAGGGAGGAGCCTGGTAAGGTTCCCCTCGTGTTTGGTATCGATGAGACGTCCTATCAGGCACTTCAGCGGCAGAACTTTCAGGCGCACGCGGGGGTCTCGCGCGTCACTTTTGTGACGAAAGCGAGTGCTCCGGCTGCGCTAGGAGAGCGCTCCACCGAAGCAGCGGGACCTAGTGCCGTTACGACGGAGGGGGCTCAACCCTGCAGTATCGACCTCGAAGAGGCGGCGGGATTGCTTCCGGCGCCCTCAGAGATCGAGAAAGATGTCAGCGAGCTTTTGGCTCGTGTGGCGGTTCTGGTCGGAACCGTCGCCATCGCTGAAGGAGGAGGGAACCTAGTACATCAGTGATGGACAAAGTAACCTTCTTACAGAGCAATTTACAGCACAGTAAGGAGGCGACCCTGTTTAATGGGTCGTCAACTTGCTGTAAAGCAGACAGGAACATACAAGAACCTTGGGATTACAAGGGAAGAGTAAGAGTCTGGGTCAGGTGGAGGACTATATTTATTATAAGAGGGACAGCCAACTGAACCCGACGATTTTCCAGTCTTTCCAAATTTTATTAAGCGGCAGAGCAACGCGATGTAAGCTTTATAGGGGAGTCGATGGTGTCCGTCCGTGAACACTATATAACTGCCAGACGCTTGGACCGGTTCGATTCAAACTTTGCACAGTTAACACATATACCACATGCAACAAGCCTATTGAAAATGGGTCAAATCCAATGACCACGTAGGGTCAAGCCGAGGTGCTCTGCCGCTTTTTTTTGGATCCGCTTTAGGGGTTTATTTTTTGTGAAATACTTTCACACAACACTTGAAGCCATTTTGAACAAATATTCCCTGATGAGGAGTACTGCACAACTGAGCAGTTTAGGACACGAAAATTCGCAAAGCAAAGAAATAGCAACATGTGTTAATGAAAAATGTGTAGCCTTGATAACACCCGCCGCCAAAGGGGACGCTCCGTTCGCAAGTTCCCAGTCGTGAAGTAAGAAACGCAATTGAAATCAAAATATTAAATTTTGAAAAAAATGGCAGATACGCCGATATTTTATCGGTATCGGCCTTCAAGTATAACAACGGGCGATATTGGTATTGGCTAAACACGCTGTATCCGTCGATCCATCATAGGTATTTATAAATAAGAAATGTATAGGAACGGATCTTAAGCCAGTTTATCTTGAAATGCAGATCAGATTACTTAAGGCAGTCAATAACTTGTAATAACAGTGTATGATAAGGAAAGTGTAGAGACCGCTGTTGCTAATATTTCGATGTGATGCAGATCTACTAACGTAAGCTCATAAGTTCAAATATAACTGTCAAAGTCAACGAAAATTTAAATACCAATCAAATGGGACTTCCGGATTCTCGATGACGCGTCTCTCTAAAGTTACGAGGCAACCTACTTTCTCTACTAACCTTGGTTGTCGCCACTGTCTCTATAAAGTCACTGTAGTTTTAACCACTTTACTCATTTATTATCAATTTTTGTGAGATGATATTTGGGCAATTAATTTCGCATGTAGTTGGGAAGGTATTAAGTATCTCAAAAATTATCTACTACTTCAAAGTAAGTGTTAAGTGTTTCAAGTTTCAACCTTGTTTTTATGGTTAATAATGAAAATTGAAATCCCAAAAAAGCTTATTACCGACTCCTTGACTAGTAGAATCAGAATTTATCCTCATATTTGCATGATTTTCAGTAATACGAGAGTAATGTGTCTAATAAATATACCTAACTTTGAAATTATGACACCATCTTGCGGAGAATGTGTTTTAAAGGCCAGTGCCCAAACGAATGCATTAATTTAGATGATTTCTTCAGTTATCATTGAAGAAGACCCCAACTTAGGTGTAGATACCTATTACATTACTAAATTATTACAAATAAATACTTTACAGCCTCACAAAGTCGAGTTTACACGACACGCAAAATTAATTTTTTTTTACAAGTTTGAAGTAAATACTTCAGTTTTAATGTATACCCAGACCTAAGTTCAATATGTATCTTACACGCCCTAAAAAATCTCCGCGATTGAAGGATCTCAGCATTAAGGGATTTAGCGTAGGCAAAAAATTCTTGATTTTTGCACAATGATTCAATATCATGCAAATTTCCATGAAATGTAACAAAAAATTCGTAAAGCCGCTTGGGAGCAAGGCGCGAAGAGTGCACTCATTTCATGCCTTTAACGAGAATACAAACATGAAATAATTTTTAATTTCTGATCGAATGACACCAGTACCACGTCTGTAAGTGGTGTAGTTCTGGAGCCTTTGTGACTCAGACAGACAGAGACAGACATCAAGAGCGCAAAAGTATAGAGTACGCGTACGCTATAACAACGTGAACGTTTGTTTTGAACCAACATCTCAGATAATTTGACCTTTGAGAGGACGAAAGTAAACATTAGTCAGTGGCGTAGGGTTTATTTATCTTTATGGGCAACAAAGTTTATGTTTTGTTTACATGTGCAAAGGTAATAACGTATCACTAAATATTTATGATCAAAAGCTGTATGTGTTTGAAAGGTCCCTATTGATCTATGATAAGGTATGGTGATACTTCAAAGTGGGAACTTAGAAGGAAATCTAAACACATTAAAATGCGAAAATTCCCGTATGCACGTCTATGACATCAAAACAAATACCGATGAGAGGTTATGTTAGGTAATTCAATAATTCCACAAATACAGCTTTTCCCCATTTCAAAGCGCTCCCATAAATTAATACACCATAAATCGAATTAGTCTTGCACTATAAAAACGCCTAAAAATTAAGGAATCACGTTTTAACGAAATAAACAAAATACCTCTCAACGGAAAACAAAGTTACAGCGTTGCCGATGTGGTGCACTAATCACCATAACTTTTCTTTTCTTGTTACGCCGTTTAATTGTAAGTTAAAATTGTTTGGGGTACTGAACTCTTATAAGCATCTAAAAATCCATTTAGATTACTCCAGATGCATATGTTATTATTATTCCCTTAAAAACTATCTCGTGAAATGTGACAACTTAGCCTCCTGCAATTTTAGTAGACAAACGAGATGATGGCACGCATAGATAAGCATCAAGGCATCTCTATCTTTATTTCTTACTCTGAGGTATTTCTTACTCTGAGTAGGTAACCAACAAATCTCTATTCTAAAAAATGACTGAAACGATTTTAGTATTATTTATGATAAACGATGAGGAATATAAATTTGAAATTTCTGTAAAGGACCAATTTTTGGCGTTTAGTTTAATGAGAAAGTGCAACTTTTTGTAAAGTAGAAGTTATGGCTAATAAAAGACCAGCGGGTTGGGTGAAATTCAACACTTTATTTTCTGTTTATCGCAATCGATTTCGGCCTAACAGGCCATCATCAGGCGTAGCTAAAAATATTTGTAAATGTATATGATGTAACATTGAACTGATTTTATAATTACCGTCATATGATAAAAAGATGGATAAAATTTTAAAAAAAAACATTTATTATGAGTACAACGAAAAATGTGTCTGAAAATTGAATAAATTATTAGTAAGTGTACCAGCAGAGATTTAATTTTTATGGCTAGTTCATCATCTTCGCTATCGCTAGATGACGACAAAAAACTCGCAAACGCAAGAAACAAATTCAAATTGTGGCACATTTGTTTTGAACAATTTTAACTAACAGTTCTACGAGCTCTGGGACCTCATGCGTCGAAATTTGCACTGAGTGCGTAATTGTTGCATCACATTTGCCAATGGAACACAGAAAATTACCCTAAAATTACCAATAGAATGTAAAAATTGCACTCATACAGCATGAGTTTTGCCAATCGAAAACGCTATAATAGTCCAGTAAGAATAGATCAAAAAATGGCAAATAGGGGAACTAAATCATGTATTACTAATTCCTTCGGAAATGTGTAGAAGAAGGTTCCCTGATCAACATATAATAAAGTCCCTCGACTACCGGGTGTGCTAGAGGGGTGAGGGGGGGAAACCGCGATTTTGATGGTCACATTTTAAAGTTTTTTTACTTACAATTGGAAAACGGTGCGTCTTAGAAAGACATTCTTTTCATATAAATACAAGCTCATTAAATTTGCTACAACTTTGATTCTACACACTTTCTTAAAAAAACCCACGGTTTTTAAGTTTTTGACCCACCAAGATTAAATATGTGAATTATACACATGACCGTACTAGCCAACTCGATCCGCAAAGCGGGATTTACCCTCAACAGCGGTGGGGTTGGGTGAGAGGAGAGGATCCAATGCTCCACCCCATCAAGACTAGCGACTCGCCAGCATCGGCCAAACTCCTAACTTCTGCCGCTGCACAACTCGAACTCGATGCGGCCCGAGGTGTGGGTGCCGTAAGACGGGCATCAACTGCACTTCAGCTTGTAGATGTGAAAGTGCGTACTTTAACGGCCCACAGGTCCTCGAGGACGGCGATGAAGAAGACAACATCGACACATTCGCTTTTTCGGACAGCGAAAATTAGTGTTTTCTAATATCTGTTACACATTGTATAAAGCATGATCCACTTTCGAATGACTACCTCTCCTTTATGCAGTTACGATGAGGTTTCTTGGAGGGAAAAAACCAGAGGAAATCATGATGTAGCAATGCTGCGTGTTGAAACCTGGGGTGGCCATATTTTCGGAGCCAAAGTTTGTTTAATTTTTCATTTTCGTGATTATGCGATGCTTAAGTCTCGAAATGTGCGATTAAAAACATTAATGGACAATGGCACATTGTAGTGCACGGAGTGTGCCAAAAAACACACGAAAGTATATGGTTTCACAGGTATAAATTATAGGTTAGTTTTCGGTGAAATAACAAACAAATTTGGGCTTCACTTTATGATCATTATTATCACTCCTCACTCTTCCTTCTCTAAGCGTTAAACACACTACATTTTGATTTGCTGACCGCAAAATTAAATCAGCTGCTAACTTTTGCTATGTTCGTTGAACGTACCCATTGTTTAAACTCAGCTTAACTAATTGAAGTTTACAATTTGGTAAACAGTAATAGTATACTTGAAATTATTCTCGAAATTATTACAGAAGTCGCTTGCGTGAACTCATCAACGAAAACTGTCTTGTTTCTAAAATACTGATTAGAGAATCTTCAAAAATCGGTTGTTTCAGATTCATTAAAAAAATTCCATTAATATGATTTGGGCCAGAAATTTCGATGCTACAAGCCTTTTTAAATTACAGCCCCTATAAAGAAGTTTAGGACATCCATCGACAGACATGCCCATAAAAATTTTTTTCAAGAATATAAATAGAAGAGATTCTAAGAAAGTGTACTTACTTTCACCTTGGCCAAGAATCCCGCAAAGTGCCCTATTCCGTTCTTTTACTATAATAATTTCCGCTCGTGCGTTACGTAATTCCACTTGAAGAGTAACATTTTTGGCCTTTTCTTCTTTTAATTTCTCCTGTAAATTTATTTCAACAATATTGTACAGAAAAAAAACAAACCGGTCTACCTGACACTGAGCTAAGGTGGTAATTTTATCAAAACTTGCTTCCCGCTTTTTACGTTTTTCTGTGATCAATTCTTTATTAAATTCTTCCTTGGCAGCATTCTTTACATCGTCAAAGAAACGATCATCCTTTAACACATTTTCAGGCTTGGCATGGGTATCCGTGTCGCCATCTAATTGCAGATTTCAACGTCAATAACAGACAGTAAGCAATGCATATTAACTTACCACTGACTATGGATTTTTTTTCATTACCGGAAGTAAGAAATTCGTTAATACTCATAGTTTTATTTTTCTTTTTCTTATTAGGTGGTTGTTGAGTCGCGTTACCATTTATTTCTTTAACGTTCTTGTACATCTCTTTATTATGTTCATAATCTAACTTAGAGAGCAAAATGGCATCTTGTAAATCCTGTTCATAATTGCCATTGACAATCTGATCATCCTTTATCTTCCATTCATCCCATTGAAAAGAATTTCCGTTTTTCTTACTTTTAGTTTTAGAAGATTGAACAACCTACAAGCAAGCACAAACTGACCATACAACTATGAAAGAACATTTTGTGGTGGTACCTGTTTGTTATTGGAAATTTTTTTGTTTTTTGCATTCTTATCACTTTTAGTATGTGGACTGGACTTTTTAGATGATAATTTTGGATCCATTTTCTTTTTTGTATCTTTGGATTTAACAGTTTGCCTGTGGTCATCGTCTTCTATTCTTAGGCAAGCAAATCTAGAAGGTACCCCAATGTCCATCGCAAATGCCTTAGCGTAGGAATATTGCTAAAATGTTTTAAACTTTACGCACGGGTGTTGAATTTCACCTTAAAGTTTAGAATTAATTTAACGGAGAATCGACCACCCAAAACATACCACCGCTGTCGACCAATTGAATTGAATTGAATGAATATGGAGTTGACTGTGGAATACAAAGCGTCAAGTGAAAGTGAACAGGAACAACACAACTTACTGTGTCTACAGTACATGGCTTTTTAAAAGGTATACCCGGTGATCGGAAGTGATTCAGGACATTTTGCGTTATAACATATACCGGGTGATTCATTAGAAGTGAGGAGAATTTGAATTTCCCGCAAATCAAAAAAATTATGAAGTTGGCACTAACTGATGATCATTTATTTAATTGCAGTGGTGTATCATCATGCTTTCAGTAAATCGTTTACTTATTTATAATCTACAAATACTGCTTCTGTTTTACCACAAATTATAAACTAACACTAGACACAGTCCCGTTTCTTACATATTTTAGTGCATCAACTCTAAAAATTGTTCAAAATGGAAAAAGTAATAAACCGCAAATGGCACACAACAATTAACGGCGACACTGGTTTCTTAAATGACAGTCATGACAGAAAAAAATTACTAACGAAATTCAAACCGTCAATCTAATAATGCAAAAAATACTAAAACCTTACGCGCGAAATTCAAGCGATCATCACTTCTAATGAATCACCCGGTACAATGGTTATAATTTGCGTATTTTGCGGATGTAGGTATTGTTTGCGACATTAGTTAATGCAGTTAAAACTTGATTACAAGTACTTTGGATGGGAAACAAAACTCCTAAGTTAGTTTGTTAATAAATATACAATGCTTCTAACCTAAGATTTGTAAAATACACGTATTCTATACTATAATCTAGTCAAAATAGCAGCCACGGCCATTTCACACTTCGCGCAGGTCGTCGCCACTCACGGTCCGTATACTAAAGTCGCCACTGACTGACCTAAATATAAGATGGATGAACAATGCCGTGTTTGAAATAATAAACAAATTACAACCTCCCGCAACCGTTGACGGAACGGCGGAACGTATTAAGGTCTTGGATGCAGTGCCGGACTTAAAGATCCAGGACCCCTAGGCACTTGAAATTTGGGGGCCCCCTGGCCCTTATCCCGCAGTCATTTTAGAAATTCAGGGAATTAAAGACACAGTACAAAATGTATATTTTAAAAAAGAATTTAATTACTCTAATAATCATAACTGCACCCAATTCGACATCGTTCTGTCGCACTTGATCACAGTAGGCTCGAATAATATCGTCGTTTCACTCGTTTCGCTTTAAACCTCTAGGATTGGATAATATTGGCGACTGTTTTGATGAGACAAGCCCAGCCGTTTGCTGGTTTATTTATATCAAGGTCCGTTACACACTGGGGCCCCTAGGCCCGGGCCTTGTGGGCCTAGCCGTAAATCCGGCACTGCTTGGATGAAAAAATAACTGGATTGCTAGCAAAGTCAAATTTATGAAGCCAACACCTACAGCGCCATCACAGGGCAGTTGTCCGTTTTGTGAAACGAAATTTGACACAGGTCAATATTACGAGATTAATTTATTAATTTAAGAGGATTTTTTATTTCACCCAGATGACAGTTTCAAAAGTCATACTTGAAGTAGGTATCATTACTTAGCAACTTTAAAGCACGTGTGTTTTAAAGGTCTTTTTTCGCACGCATTTGAGTGTTTAAAACGGAGATTGTGATTTAGGTATAATAAAAAACTACTTAAAACCAATCCAAAATACACAATTGATTTTATTTCACACTTATTACTGTTTTAAAGCTAAGTAATCAGTGTTTACTGTTTTGATATAATGGGGCCGATGTGATTATTTCATTCGCATAAGGTCAGTATAAGAATTAAGAGGGGTCAATATCTTTAACAGTAAAACAACCAAGTCCTGCAATTCGAATTACGCTGTCGATTATGACGTCACGTCTCCACTAATAATAATAATAGCCTTTATTCCCCATAGGTCTCACATCAAAATTTCACATATCAAAATATAAAAAAACGATTATAGTTATTCATAAACAATAAAGAAAAACTTCTAAATTAATGATCAAATTGCAAGATAAGAACTACATAGAAAAGGAAAAGAAGAAGAAGAAATTTAGTAGTACGTATAGTATTATGAGGAATCACACGGTGCCAATTCAAATTAGTAGTTAAACTACCATTGGTCTTCCATTGGAGCCGTGAAAAAAGATAAGAATAGCAAGGTGAAATTATGCCTATTGTACCTAACTTAAACTAAAATTCTTAGATGTTAGGTCGGCGTCGGAACTAATTTGCAACAATTATTTGTAATTTATCTTTTTGTGACTGATGAATTGATGATGGTATTATGCGTCATTTTGAAGATGTAATAAAGAACGGAACAGTTTTTTTTTTTGAAGAGAGAAAGAGATGAAGCTTTGAGTTCAGCTGATAAGTTATTATAGACTTTATAAATTTGGTAGGTACTGAAAGGTGCGTTCGTATAGACCAGTGGAATGCTTTGGTGGAGAAATTAAACCGCGGTATCTTAAATTTATATTATGAACATCTGTTCTGAAGCGGATTTTATTAAAGAGATAAGCTGGTGTCTTTGTGGTCAGTACTTTGTGGCAGAGTGTTGCAAACTGAAGTCTTCTTCTATTGCTCATATTCAGCCAGTTCAAATCACGCAGTTTATGCGAAATGCGTTCGAATTTAAGTATACCATAAATCATTCGCATGCAACTGTTCTGTACTCGCTGAATGCGTCGTACCGTACCGTATCTTGCTTTATAGACGACCAATATAGCTCGGAGCAGTAATTGAAATGCGATAATACAAGAGAGTTACACAACAAAGCTTTTGTTTTTATTGGTAAAGATTTCCTATGTGGATATATTAACTTTAAATTGATTAAACTTTTCTTGAGGTACATATTGATTTGAGTATCGTATCTAAACGAATTGTCCATGTGCAAACCTAAGTTTTTCACTTCGGTTTTAATCGGTATGTGTCGTTCAAAAAAAATTTGCATGCTGGTTGATGGCTCGGATATTATCAGTATTTCCAAAAAATATTATTGAAGACTTCGCCGGATTTATGAACAGTGAATGCATACGTGAGACAGCTTCGATTGAACGTAGATCATCATTTATATTACGAACAGCAGCTATGGACTCATCCATGCGAAATGAATGTAGGATTTGGGTATCATCGGCGAACATTTTCATTTTGCAATGCGAAATGTATTCACTAAAACGGGATGTGTAAAGAATAAACATAAGAGGGCCTAAAATAGACCCTTGGGGAACACCCCTAAGAGTTGGTAAGAAACGAGATCGGCGTGACATAATTTTAACGCATTGGCTCCGTCCACTTAAATAGCTACTAAACAAATTAACCGCAGCTGTTGATAATCCAACACTTCCAAGGATACTGTGAAGAACGTCATGATTGAGTGTATCGAAAGCTTTACTGAAATCTAAAAGCCCTAGGACAGATACCATCTTCGAATCGGTGGCGGAGATAATTTCATCCGTGATGTCTATTAAAGATGTAGTGCAACTATGATGCGGTCTAAAACCAGACTGATGGTGGGGAATAATATTTTTACTGAACATCATATGACCTCAGCTGCGAATTAATTACCGTTTCCACTATTTTAGACATTGTAGGAAGTATGCTTATAGGCCGTAAATCTTTGAATTTCTTAGGGCACTGGATTTTTGGTAACAATAGTTACAGTTAATAGACTCTTTGAATTTATAATTTATTAATTCAATGGTCGCGCCCTATTCCATCCGACTGCAATCATTTCTGATTACCAGGTAGATACAATCACCGAACCTAAAATCAATGGCTTGTCTTCAGTTTTGTCATTTGATTATTATTATAATAATCAAAGGTTTTATCCTTAGAGAAGGAAAGACTTCATAGTCTAAGGTTTTAACTTTATTCATTTGGTTTTAACTGTTGATGGTCTCTGGTCTGTGTCTCAGAGTATTTCTTAAGGCAAGTGTCCACGATGATACGAAAATCTCTGAGATTTTGGTCTCATGAAACAATTATCTCGTGGTGTGTTTCCACTACGAGGCAAATTTGGACAAATGTCATTCAATTGCCTGTCTCGTGAGACTTTAATGTGAATAGAGTAGAGAATTAGTAACACAAAGCTATATATACAATGGACATGCAGTGTATGTCCTTATTTGGATAATTTGAACATCCACTGTACGTCCAAATTACGTACCTAGTCTGCTAATCATCCAGGGGACATCCAGTGGATTATACATTTGGCACAAGAATGGAGTATTACTGGACATTGGCTGTCCAAGGTACCATCCGTAATGCACCATTTAGGGTTGCGAATTATACATAGATATGAGCGTCCATTGTACGTTCAACGGGCAAAAGCTAACGTACTCTGGGACCAAATATGTACCAAAAAAATTATACACTATCGATTTAAAAGGAACATCTATTATTAAATACGTATACAAAAAGAAACAATACATAATGAAAAGAAAATACATATAGTGTATAGTATATATACAAAATACACAAAAATTTAATTTTTGTCTTTTCTTTCTTTTGCCCTTCTTAACCATTTGGCCATCGCGACTTTAAAAGGGAAGAAGATTTGAGATACATATATATATATATTTTCATACCTATAATGGACGGCCAATGGATGTTCAGTGTGTGCAAGAACTACACGCCGTTATTATGTACGGAAGCGGTTATGTTAATGTATGCTCATGTTATGTACATGAACGTAAGTAACTATCATCATGAACCAAATTCGGATGTCCATTGTTTGTCCGTGACCAAAAAAGCGGAAAGCTGCTGTTTATGCATACAGGGTGACAATTTGAAAACTTACCACCCCCCCATATCTTAGTAAATAAACGAGATATTTAAAAAAATCAAAATCCGTTTCGGTAATTCGGAGGGGGAATCACAATGACATACTTGGCGACGCACCCCCTCCAACCCCCTGCGCCCCAGCCACCCCAACTTTTAAATCTTAAATAGTGACCCCCCATGTGTGATATGTCGTTGGAAAGCTCTGAAAAAATGCTTTCCAATTTTAAATACGACAGATTTCAAATGTATCATATTAGTTTATTTTTTGATTTGCACGATAATTACTAACCTAAATGTAATGCTATTTGGTATGGTTGGAAAGCATTTTTTCAGAGCTTTCCAACGACGTATCACACATGGGGGGGTCACTATTTAAGATTTAAAAGTTGGGGTGGCTGGGGCGCAGGGGGTGTGAGGGGGTGCGTCGCCAACTATGTCATTGTGATTCCCTCTCCGAATTACCGAAACGGATTTTGATTTTTTTAAATATCTCGTTTATTTACTAAGATATGGGGGGTGGTAAGTTTTCAAATTGTCACCCTGTATGTAACTTTTTCAAAAAAATCGAATTGATACAAGGCGCTTTCTTTCGTTGATCCAAACGCGTTTGGATTGTCAAATCACGTTCTTTCGAAGTGTGATCTTATAATCATGATTGCTAAAATCGTGAACAAACTGAACATAAAAGTTTTATGATCCCGAATTCCTAACCTATAAATGCAAGGATATTTTTGATCAATTTGTTAGGTTAGTCAATATTTATAACTGAAGAGGAGCATAATCGTGCAAGTACTTCCACTTATATTTAAGTTATTTTCATAATCCAATCAAAAATACGTAATTCGAGTGCAAATATGTACTTAACCATACTTTGATTTAAATTCGCGCGTTCTTTCGTAAAACGTGATCCTACGAATCACGATTTTGAAATCATGATCGCGAAGTAGCCGAAAGAAAGCGCCTACATTGATGCCAAATTCAATTCCTGCCGCAGAGGGCCTTGGTGTGACACTTCGATTCTGGGCTGACCAATATTACCTCAGAAAAGCTACTAATACAGATATGAGATACCTATAATTGCTGATTGTACAACAAAACTCTCACGTGCTGCTGATGATATAAAAGTCATGAGTGAAGTCATATACCTATCACGTTTACACGTTGAGACAAAAAAAGACAAAATAAAATTGCGTGAGGCAAATTGTATCATGAGACATTTCTCTAGCATCTCGTGTGTCTCACGATCGTTTCCACTATAAATTTCATGGCTGCTGAGATTTTTGTATCCACACAAAAATCGCATGAAAAAATCTCATCGTGGAATCGCACCTTTACTCTGAGATCTGTGTCTCTGCGACAGTTACTATTTTAATTTTTAACCTAAAATAAATTTTACAAATGCGTAAAAGTTAAAAGTTGTGTTAATTAGGTTTTTGTTGTTGAGGAAAATGTTAGCAATACAAGATTATGGTAGTAGCGACGAAGAAAAAGAAAAAAGTGAAACAATACCTTTGCATTTACAAACAGAAACAAATGAAAAGTTTTCTGTAAAAAACCAGTTAACTGTCTGTGCAGCACCTATCATTGCTTCCGCAGTATGTATTCATTTCTTTTTAGTGTTACATTGAAACCGTGTCCTTTCTTTAGAATTTAGAAGATCGCGTACACGTTCCCCAAATGGCTACGGAAGTGCTACACAATCCCAAATATGAAGATTTGTTTGCTCCTGTTGTTGGACCTGAAAACCCGTTTAAAACGAAGCAAATGATGGCAGAAAAAAATATGTTATCTGGCTATATAGAACCTGCATTTATCAACGAATTTCAATTTGAAAATCAGAGACGCACATTTAATAGTTTCGGATATGCATTAGATCCTGCTGTTAATGATAACGATGAAGGCAATAAGATCATTGGATCTGTGGAATTGGCACAAGAGATGTATGGTAAAACAGTATTTGAAAGCACAAAGCTACGACCTACGGATAAAAGGAAACGAAAAAAAAACAATGATCCTAGCGATATTGATAACTTTTTAGGTCCTTGGGGTGGGTACGAAAATGAGCAGAGAGTGGTGAAACCTTCAGATGTAGAAGCGGTGGAGCTTGAGGAATTGGTAGCAAAGAGAAACAAGAAGGGTAAGACGACAGATGAAGCTCCGATTGAGGAAAAGACAATATTGCATAGTAAGTTTCATGTTAACTTAAACGATCGTGTGTGCTTAAAATTGTGCTTAGTTGAAGACGCTTTGGATTATCAAGGGCGATCATTCTTGCACCCTCCTCAAGATGTGGGGGTTAATTTGAAATCTGATAATCCTCCTGAAAGATGTTTCCTCCCGAAGGCCCATATTCACACATGGTCTGGGCATACGAAGGGGATTGCGGCTATCCGTTGGTTTCCAAGAACAGCTCATCTAATGTTATCTGCCAGTATGGATTGTAGGATAAAGGTTAAAATCCAAGTTGTCTCAAACAGATGATTTGATATTATTTTTTTAGTTGTGGCATGTTTACAATGATAGGCAATTAATTAGAACGTATCATGGACATCGTCAGGCTGTTAGAGATATAAACTTCAACAATTCGGGAAAAGTATTTTTATCAGCTGGTAAGTAAGCATTATGGACATGTTCAACTCTCTAGATATAATATGACGCATATGAGGAAGCAATGTTCTCTTTCCAATCTTATTTTACAGATAAATGACTGTACCTACCATTTTTTAATACGTGGACATGCACACACAGTATTACAGACACCAACCACAAAATAATGTTATAGGTACATGAAAGCTAGTACTAGAGGCATTTTGTCCTTTTTTCTTCAAAAGTGAATACATGAACATGACATTTTTAGACGTCGTGTGTTGGCATTGGCAGCGTACAAAAAGTCTTTGTTGCCATTGATTACGTTCAATTTGCAAGAATCATCAGGAAAATTTTTGGATAAAGTTATGTTAAGGGTCACCCAGTTTAAAAGACAAAGCATCGTTTTTTTAATTCTGTTTATTTAATTAATCAATCACTGAAACCTATAGTGATCGGATTTGTCATATTGTTTTGTTATCAAAAGAAGCGACCAAATACGGATTTTTAAAAAGATCGGATGAATTTCACTTATATAGTTAATAATAGATTGTTAATTTTTGGCATTACTTTTTTATATTTTTTCACGAAAAACATTACCATTTTTTTACATACAATACATTTCGTTGAGTGAAACGACAACATCCAGCCCAAACCGTAATTTGACTGGACTATAACACCTCAAATTATTACTGTTCTGTCAACATAATGACATTCGCCTTTAGTTTTCAAAAATTTGAAAGATTACAGTGGAGACATCGACAGGTAATTGTTATAACAAAACGCTGATTAACCATCGACTGACGTCACCTAAATATTAAACCACTCAATTTTAAAAATGAGTCGTACACAAATGTACGTGGTTCATAGTATAAAGATATTACTTTCATCCTTGGATGAAAAAATAACTGGACTGGTTGCCAAATCAAAATTTATGAAGCCAACATCAACAGCGCCATCACAAGGCGGTTGTGCATTTTGTGAAACGAAGTGTGACACACATACATTTAACGAGATTTACTTTTAAGTATTTTATAGTGGTTTTATCTCGGGTTTTATGTAATTTTGTGTTGGTTAGTTGTGTTACTTTTATATAGTTCATTAAAAATGGAACGCACAAATTGTTTTGTAAAAAATTGTGATGCAGCTTATAACCTTAAAAACATATAATTGTGAATATCTAATTTTATTTTATAGATTTCCTTCAGATATAAATTTGTGTGCTCAATGGGAAATTGCTTTGGTCAATCAACCCTGCAGTTATTGTAAGAAGTATTCAACATTTTGTTCAAGACACTTTAAAACAGATTGTTTAGAACATTTGTTAAATAAAAAGTTATCCCACTATCTATTGTTATCATTATCCAAATTTTTTATCTACTTCAAATTTATGTATTATATAAATTAATTCGTCAGGTATAAAGTTAAATCGTTATTGTATAAATATTCTGCGTAGGTATACTTGTCCTTTCATATTTAGCGCCTTAGATTTAGTTCAGATTTTAGTCATAGCCAGCGATGGCGCTGCAGATGTTGGCTACAAGTTTTATACAAGATATTATACGACGCCAACTGCAGTCCAGATCAAAGCTTTCATCCTATCTGTTTTGTGGGCCAAAAAAAGATTGAAAAAGAAGCGCAAAATTAGAGACTTTTGGAATTGCAGCTCTTAAACCAATCATTTTGGACCTTACGGTTTGTTTGGTTTTGTACTCTGCCATCCATTTTTAACGCGTTTTTGAAAAAACGCTACTATATTCGTTATTGCTGGCTGTCTGGCTGAGATCTCTGCAATTACAATAGACAGAGATTTCAAATTTTTACTTTCTGCTATAGCAAGCTGTGGTCTATTTTGAGTTAGATCGATAATTTTGAACTTTGCTAATAAAATACCGATCTGTATTACCAAAAACGCACTTTCATCATGCATATGCTGATTTAGAACTTGTTTTGCATACTTACCTGTAAAAGCTATGAATCGGTTGAATGAAATATGTAGCAAGTCTTTTTAAGAGAAGGCCATGCCAAGTTTCGGTTTCGACAGAAAGCATGGGTTGAAAAATCAATATCTCGAAAATTCATATATCCGTCTGAGACATAAATTATTTGCATTTTTGTCATACTGCAAGGCCTAAATTTTGTCATATCAGTGATATATATTTGATAGTTTGCATTGGTAAGCAGTAAGACAGTATGTATCAATACAGGAATTTTGATAAATAATACCAAAAGAAGATTATTCTCGCTAATACGCTAATTTCAAATCAAATTGCAAGAGCCACATTATTCCCTTCTAATTGCTTAGAAAAGGGTAGCAACTTGAAATTCACAATTTTATTGAAATAAATTATGTAACATTCGAATTTCAATAAATATGATGTGGTTGCTATCAATCTACTCTGCAGTCTGCTGTCAATGTATAAAAACTAACAAGAACTCGTATTTTCATTTTGCATAAAACCACTCCCAAAATTTAAAAAATATAATGAATTACATAGAAAAACATGTTTTATAATACTCTATTACCATATTATTATCTTGTAAACACCTGCGATTCTGCTTTGTTCCGCCATAAGATAGCAATATTACAATAGATCACATGTGCCTTTTAATAATAATAATAATAGTTATTTATTGGATAACGTACAAAAGAAACAATACATAATTCTAGGGAATATTAAACTAAATTTATTACGTTATACCAAAAGGGCGAAGTTCAGATATGTAGTGCAAACTACAATCTGTTCTACCACTTAACCCTATATTTCATGTACTATTTTGCCATAAGTATTCCTTTTTAGCTTATTTTCTATTAACACTAGTTTTTTTGTTTGTCATTCCGATTAAGGAATTCTTGAAAGAATCAAATGATGAACACTTATTAAGGATGAGTATAATGGGGGTGATGTTTTAAAACATTGATTTCGTTTAATTGAAGCAATTTTTCATGATTAATGTTACATTTAATTACAGCATATGATCGCTACATAAAAATGTGGGACACAGAAACAGGACAGGTTGTGGCTCGATTCACAAGTAGAAAAATTCCTTACTGTGTCAAATTTAATCCAGACCGGAATAAACAGCATCTATTTGTAGCAGGCACTTCCGATAAAAAAATTATATGCGTATGTTTTTGTGTTGAAATCGTTTTTGTTTTTTTAATACTAGGTACATGTTCTAGTGGGATACAAGGTCTGGCGATATAGTTCAAGAATATGATCGACACTTAGGCGCAGTAAACACAATTACATTCGTGGACGAGAGCCGCAGGTTCGTAACAACCTCAGATGACAAGAGTTTGCGTGTTTGGGAATGGTATGTATCTTGTAACTTTTCTATCAATGTTAAATAGGTGTCTGTAGGGACATTCCTGTTGACATGAAGTATATTGCTGATCCTACAATGCACTCGATGCCAGCTGTAACACCTGCCCCTAATGGCAAATGGTTAGCATGTCAAAGTATGGATAACAAAATTGTTATCTTTTCTGCTTTAAATCGATTCAAAATGAACAGGAAAAAAGCCTTTACTGGGCATATGGTGGCTGGTTATGCGTGTACTTTAGATTTTTCTCCAGATATGAGGTAGTGTAATATCTAGGGTTGCCACATGGCTGGGATTTTCCGGGATTGTCCCGGAATTAGCTGCACTGTTCCGGATCCCAGTTTTTCATATATAAATTCCGGAAAAAATAACCCAACGTCTTTAATAAAAATTGAAAATGTACACTTGCCCAACCAAACCCAAATACCTAGTGGTGAAACTGCATGAACCAAAAGAAATAGCTACAAACGTCAATTGTGGGATCATGACCACTACGTTAATACGTATGTTACAGTAAACTAATTCAACATTCACGCTCCAGTTTTTTTTTGATATGTTGGTTTTTGTTCCAGAAAAACATGCTTTTGTTAAATTTGATTGATATACATATTTAAAGTATCTTTGTATTTTTATTAAAAAATTTTCTGTTGCGTTATTTTTATTTTGTGCGTTAAAAAAATGTAATGGGATTAATTGGTATCACATGAAATAGAATTAAATATAATAACAATAAAAAACTAACAAAAAACAACATTTTTTACCAAAATTATCAAAAATTACAAACAAGGCACCGAATAAATTTTTGAATTCGGTGTATTTTTATCTGGTCACAATATTGGTTGATGGAGGGATGGTTCCCAGAATTAACCTGGTCAGTGTGGCAACCCTATCATTTTCATAGGAATGTACCTAACTGTAGTTTCCTATTTTTAGTTATCTTGTATCTGGAGATGCAGACGGGAAATGCTACATATGGGATTGGAAAACTACAAAATTGTACAAAAAATGGAAAGCTCATGACAATGTGTGTATTAGTGTGTTGTGGCATCCGCATGAATCGAGCAAACTTGTCACTGCAGGCTGGGATGGATTAATTAAGTATTGGGATTAAGTTCTTAATTGAAAAACATGTTTATGTACATATTTGTTTAAATAGATTTAACTTTTTTTAAACATTTGAACATTATGATTGAATAACCAGGTAAATGTCTCTACGAGTTTTAATAGATATCAAAATGAAACTTGGTAGGTAGTAAATTGTGTGTGTTTTGATTATATGACTTGTGTTTAAGGACGGCATACGAATTGAAAAATTGAATCATTTATGAAATGAGGCAACCATGATTCAGCTATTAAATATCAGAGGTCGCAGCATGTTTTAAAATCGAAAGATAGTGAAGTATTATCTTTGTAGTAAATAAATTGTGCTGCCACATCGTGTCAAGTAGGTGGTACTATCTACTTACACAATTGGTTTGTGTATACTCAAAATTAAATTACTTTTATATGTTGGCTTCCATGACCTTGTCCACATTCCTTTGCTTATTTTAACGAGATAAAAAACAGGTGGTTGACATAGATTAAATTACATTTAAAGGTACACGCAAAAAACGATATGCACTATTACCAGAGTTATTGAGTTATTATTCTTATAGACCGAGAGCCCGCATAGAAAATACCTCGTCATAGGGTACAAAAGGTTTGATGTAACTAGGTCGTAGAATGTCACCGTGTGATTCCAAAATCGCCCGTCTGCCGGCCCGCGGCGGTCAACTTAGCGTGGGGGCGAATTTTGAAAACTGTTCCAAATCACATAATACCTCGTCACTGGTACACGTATGACTTTTTGCAATCTGATTTGGAAATGTGCACCAAATTCATAGTTGCAGCGGCAGACGATTTATCTGGGCAACTTTCCCGAGCAGACGCGTTTAAAAACATTCAAAAATTGTTAAATACCTCGTCATAAGGTACACGCTCGAATTATAGCTCTTTGAATGTAGAATTTGGGAAAACCATGAAAAACGCGGCAGACGGTCGTATAACTATAGCAGACGCCTTTGAAATTTGTAGTTCCATCTTCGTTTAACGCATTACTCCCCGTGCGGTAAAGCGAGAGCGCTGTCACTCAAGCACGCTCTGCTTGTAAAAACGGATCTACAGCTGGAAGTAGGTACCTACCACCTAAATTAAATGTAGGCATTCCACAAATAATAGGATTTATGAAATACAAACCGTTATAAAAGTGTTTAGAATGGCAATATAACAAAAAAAAGAATAGGTACGCTAGGGGTGTGGGGGTAAATGCCAAAACTGAGGGAAATCTTCCATTAAATATCCCCATAACTATCTAAATGAAGGTGTTTTTAAAACTTCATCTATTCATTTTATCAAAATTGCAATGGTTCGTTTTGAAATGAAAGCTTGTATAGGTATCGTTACGGCATTTGACATTATTTTACTATTTTGAATTTTGGCACCATCAATGTGTATTTCTCATTATTTTATCAAAAATCCGTAAATAAATCCAATTAACAAAATCATGTTACGCCATGGAAATTTTCTGAGGAATTGAAACAACGTGCGATCATAAATGAGTTGCTGTCGAGTCGCCTTTGGAAGTTCAAGTTAAGTAGGTACGATTTCCCATGTAAACAAAAATTCCAAAGGTAACTCGATAACTCGACAGCAACTCATTTTTTATCGCATAGTGGCTTTTGACACAGACGGAATGGGACACTCAACTATACCATGGACGTTCATTAAAATGTACGGAAAACAAATATCGCGTACAAGAGTAAATATTTCCGCTGTAAACGTTGTTTATTATAAATACTTTTTCCTCAGTGAACTGCATTTTACAAAAAAAATTAATGCCAGTTATCAGAAACTAATATTGGTTTGGATTTGAATAACGTTGGAATCTGCTTTTTGTCTTACTAGTCATGGCTAACCATGATTTTGATAATTGGATTTATTGCCGAATTTGTGCTAAAATAATGAGAAATACACCTCAAAATGAACTATTTCATACATCATTAGATGAGAAAAAAATCTTCTTTCGATTGGAGTCATTATAAACCCTCCAAGTTAACATGGGGAGCAACGATCTACAAAAAGCTTTATGTTAATTCTGCATGTTCGATTTTAGTATACGGACCTGCGGTTTGGGAAAATCAACCCGGTATGTAAATTGCGAGGTAAATTGTGAAGAAGAAGATGTATGTTACAAATTTTATAGTTTAGATGGCTATATATATACATAGGGAAGTTCAAAAAGCCTCAACTGTATACGTATGCAGAGGGTGACACAAGAATTATTTTCCGTTTATCGTAAATGGCAGTTGCAAAGAACGTAGATCTTATCTTGCTAAGGTTTTAAGAATAATAATTGGGTTTCTTTAACTCGATCACTCCTTGATCTGAAAAAAAGTTAGATTTGGGACCTTTAATTGAGAAACGCTTTAGTTTGAGCTACGCTTCGTTTATACGGTGTCTGTATCACCGTCCGTTTGAGGGTGTTGGCACACTCCCTTGATTTAATATAGGTATCTCATTTAATTTATTTCACATCTAATAAAGTACGTAAGATATGTGTTATTCTATGGTAAACATGAAAACTGAATTTTCAGTCAATATCACCTGGTGAATTTTGTTTAGATATTAAAATAAAAATTAATGACATTATATGAAATCACATTACAAAAATCATTGATGGTGCCAAAATTCAAAATAATAAAACAATGTCAAATGCCGTAACGATATACTTATACAAGACTTTCATTTCAAAACGAGCCATCGGTTGTAATTTGCAATTTTGGTAAAATGAAACAACGAAGTTTTAAAAACAACTTCATTTAGATAGTGATGGGGATATTTAATGGAAGATTTTTAGTATACAGGGTGATTCCTATAGTACCTGCCACAGTTTGGGAGCGTATAGGGGGTGCCTAGGGGAGTATTTTGATATAGGACACTTGGGGTCGGAAATCTAAAATAAGGGCGCCAGAACCAAATTTATTTTCTGGAATTTCACGCCTGTATGTAGGCAACCCAACCGACCGACGTTTCGCGCGGAGCGATGCAGAGCGAGTTAGCGCGAGGAAGCGACATGGGAGGGAAGGAGGGAAAACGACAGTCAAAAGCAATAACGTTTACAAGTGTTCAACGTGGCCACCGTTGTTCTCAATGCACTTCCTACATCTAGCCAACTATTATTATACTATTGCCATAGTGTTTATTCACTTGATACGCGTCGTTGCAGACGGGATTTCGTGGGTTTAAACAAAATTCTGATCAAGTGTCAGCCACACATCGCCGCCTGAGATCGCTCCGTGTGCACCGCCGGCCGGTTGGGTTGCCTACCTACAGGCGCGAAATTCCAGAAGGTAAATTTGGCTCTGGCACCCTTATTTTAGATTTCCGACCCCAAGTATCCTATATCAAAATACTCCCCTACGCACCACCTACACGCTCCCAAACGGTGGCAGGTACTATAGGAATCACCCTGTATACCCCCGCACCCCTAGCGTATTCGTTTTTTTTGTTATATTGCCATTCTAAACTCTTCTTATAGCGTTTTGTAATTTGTATGTTGTGTTAGTCGTTATTTACATTAATAATGTAGTGTAGTATAGTGTAGAAATATTTTTTAATATTTGTGTTTATGTTTTGTGACATAAATCTTATTATTTGTGGAATGCCTACATTTAATTTAGGTGTAGGTACCTACTTCCAGCTGTAGATCTGTTTTTACAAGCAGAGCGTGCTTGAGTGACAGCGCTCTCGCTTTACCGCACGGAGAGTAATGCGTTAAACGAAGATGGAACTACAAATTTCAAAGGCGTCTGTTATAGTTATGCGACCGTCTGCCGCGTTTTTCATGGTTTTCCCAAATTCTACATTCAAAGAGCTTTATTTTAAGCTATAATTCGAGCGTGTACCTTACGACGAGCTATTTAACAATTTTTGAATGTTTTTAAACGCGTCTGCTCGGGAAAGTCGCCCAAATAAATCGTCTGCCGCTGCAACTATGAATTTGGTGCACATTTCCGAATCAGATTGCAAAAAATCATACGTGTACCAGTGACGAGGTATTCAGTCCAATTCTGTAACTTAAAATAATCTTAGCAACTTGCTAATAGTGAAGGTAATTGCTAGATGAGCAATATTTGTTAAAAGTGGTATTCTGTACTGACAAACTTAGCAATGTTGGTAAAGTGCTGTTGTTAAGTCTTAGCAAGAATGTATTTCACCCGTTCAAATATGGCAGGTGGATGGTTTAAATACGAATTTTTAAACGCTGTTGAAGATTCAATTCTTCCCATTATTCATCTAGTTTTTAATATCGTTTGGAGCAGTTCTTTCATGAACTAACACGACATTTTTAGCACATTTTCCAAAGAAGTTGGGTGCGCTATTGCAGCCACTTTCTCTGTCCGTCTGTCCGGCGCCTTAACTACTCCTACAGATCAAGATATTTAGTTCGTTCTTTTTGCATTCGGTAGCGTATAACTCTGGCATCTGAGTCAAGCAAAATCCTGACGATTAAACGGCGCAATGTCAACTTACCTATTTATAGAGATATTTTTTTGAAATTTTAAACATAGATGTCTCTAGTAAAGATAAGCATATCGCATATTGTAAACATCAGATGTGCGCATTTGCATTTCTTATTTCTAGAGAAATTTTAATAACAGATGCTTCTAGGAAAGATAATCGTATTGGGCACCTGAACCAAGAAAAATCGTAACAATTACACTGCGCATCGGCATTATGTCCATTCAGTGACCTTTTAGGAACTACTGAGTACTGATCAATGCATGGAAAATGCGCTAAAGTTAATACCCTTAGGGCGAAAACTTTTTTACGTGTTTTCTAAATTGTCCACAATTATGGAATGCTGCTCCTATGTTGTTCTAGCGCCACGCTGTTTGGTATCTGTATTTTCCATGGCGAGCAAATACAAATTACAAATCGCACGTCACTTTTAAAGCACAACGCGCCTAATCGGTTAAACTTAAATCAAAAATAAACCTAAGCTTACAATTAAAAAGTTTAAACAGTTGTGAAGTTAGGTGATAAAGAGTTAAGTGGGTCCTAATGCGTCTAATTTTAGGCCCTATGACAACACTTTGTCACTAAGTTCTGACTAGTTCGTAGCAATTTGACGAAGTGTAGGAATATTAGCAATATTGCTCAAGTTGGTAGTTTGAGAATGGCAAATTTGTTATGATTGCTCATAATATTGCTAGAATTTTGTGTGAGCAATCTTGCTATAGTTAGCAATATTGCAAACTTGTTAGTTACAGAATTGGACTGATTATGTGATTTGGAACAGTTTTCAAAATTCGCCCCCACGCTAAGTTGACCGCCGCGGGCCGGCAGACGGGCGATTTTGGAAACACACGGTGACATTCTACGGCCTAGTTACATCAAACCTTTTGTAACCTATGACGAGGTATTTTGTACGCGGGCTCTCGGTCTATTATAATAATAGCCCAGGCATTTTAGGTTTTGACCCTACGAAAAATAACGTAAATCTGAAAATTGGCACAGTTGTTTTATTTGATGCCCTGAACAACATATAAAAAGTCCCAAGAGTTCCCATGTCGGCTTCCTTGAAGTTTGGGCTTTCGAAAGTCCGAACTCTTGAAATCAGCACGACGCCACTATATAGCCTAGCGGACGAATGGAACAAGTCCCAGAGTCACGGGAGGGCTTAAATTAAAGGTTAGTAACCAGGCTATCTTTTGCTATTTTTTGCAAGTGCCAGTGACAACTTCCGGCCAGACCGGAAGTGGAAAAAGACCGCGAAACTTGACAAAAAAATCGGTTTTTGTTTCGACATAGGTGCGATTTAGCGTCCGATATCGGAAAATAAAATAGTATTTTGTCTATGCTAGCAGTCTGTAAGGAGCCGTGAACGACCTTGCGTTTGTGTTTTGTATTTTCTTGTCGTGTGGTTATGCAAATCAAATTGCATTTTTTTTAAAGTTCCCTCTGTGTTGTTTGGGGCCCACTTAAAGAGAGTATAATGATTTAAATATTTGTATAGAAAACTGCTGTAGTTACACTATTCATTATTAGGTACCAGCACATTCTAACGAAAAAAACTTTGTCCTTTACTATGGGTACTTCTCTTTTCAGGCAATCCCAGCCTTAATGACATCATAATCGGATGCAGTTCCTTATATTTTTTAAAGACGCGCGCCAAGTTTAACTTGTACCTTAGCGACATCTAGAAATAAATAGCTGCACTACTACTGCTTGCCGCCATTGCGGTTGATGTAACTTTTTAAAAATGAAATCTTTGAGAATGACTCCTGGTCGCAATATTGGATTTTAAATGACAAAACTTTCAATATTGCAAGAAGAGGAGCAGTTTTACAGCGACTGTACTTTAAAATTCAACAATTGCTTAAAATAAAAAATAAAATGTGTCGTCTTATTTTAGCAATATTGTAGTAATTACTGTCTTTCTCGTAAAACCTTAATACAGTCGCTCTAGAGTAATGTATGTAGAATTTATATTTTCAAAAACCACCCTAAAAAATGATTGTATAAGCCCAGGAGTCATTCTCAAAGTTCGATATATTTTTACAATGCAATTTGTCAGTGGCGACCTCTATTGATTCTCATGAATAGTATGCCGCCCTTAAGCAGAAAAATATAAGTACCTAGAATATTTTGCAATTACAAAATATGGGGTTTGATATCTTTTATTTACCGGTAAACTGAGATATCTTTAGAGGAAAATTGTCAGTCATTTGTCTATTACTGAAATTTGCTGAATTAGCCATTGTGCAGCAATATTAACACAAGAAAAATACTATTCATACATTAACTTTATTTTCATATTTCACAGTACTCCACTTTTAATTGTTACACTTATTTTTTTGTTACTACTTATCTGGGTTGGCCTTTGAAAAAAAGATATCGAACCTTATATTTTTGTAATCGTCAACCTGGAAACTAAAATCTCTTAAAAACCATCAAAGCAAACACAACATTTACTATAATAATGTATCTACCAAATTTCATTCTGATATTTACTTGGTTCACCACTTGTGCCGCATCACATATGCAGTAGTCAGATCAGTGTTCGTGTTCAATACTGGCAGCGTATCGGTATGCTGGACTATAACAGTATTGGGTTAGGCTAAGTAAGGTAGCTAGGTACCTGATACAATAACGATAGAATTTAAAACGCTTTTTGATACTGGGCTGCTTTATTATCCTAACAAGTTCTTTTGTGATTGTGAAATTCACTCGCTTGTAAGAGTAATCTCACGCTGAAGACAAAACTCTTCACTTTCTTGTGATATAGGAAGTAATGTTGCATATTTAACTGTACCAGAAGAAACGTGAAACAAACGTCGCTTTCCTTTTTCTTGAATTGGCCTATAGTTACTCAGTAGTGGCTTTTCATCGTTGTCTAAAAGCATTCTGAAAGCTTCCATCTAAAAATATACAAAAGATTTATTTGTTAATTGCAAGTTGATATACAAGAAGGGAGTACACATATAAAAATGGAGTTGTGCATCATACTTGAGAACTTGCTTTAATTGCAAGCCTTACAGTACGTAAATTTAAAGGTATGGTAAAATCCCTATCTAAACTGCTTTCAGTTCAGCAACGTTTACGTGTGTAGAACTCAAATTTTGGAGCAGAATTTTAAAAATGGTAAAACATTTAAACATGTCCCATTATGGTTGAACTTAAGATAGATTTAGGTGCATACCTGTTCTCTTGTAATTCCAATGGGCTCTCGACATATTAGCCAGAAAATGAAATGAATGAATGCATTGGTCCTCACAGAACCCCAATACAAAAAATAATCCATTTGAAACTTTTTCAATAAGAATTGAAGCGGGATATTTTTGAAGCGTGTAGATGTACGAGGTTTCTGAACACGTGGTATCGCTTCCACAAGCAACTGCATTATAGGATTTATCGCTGCCTGTAACTAATGCAAATATACTGATGATGGACACGTACTTACTGTAGGTTCCTATTATCACAGTATGTTTATATCTAGTATACAGACTTACTTTAAATAAATATACGAAAACGGCAACACCATCCTTCTGTCTTAAAGCAGCTTCGTGGGTTACATACATGCTTCGAAAATATACAACGTGCATTTCTAAGGGGTATGTTACCCCATCTGCGGAATGTTCGCTACCTTTCATATCATTAGCTCCCCAATGGAAATGAAGTTGTGAGAATTCGAAGTTGCCACAAAAGGGACCACTAGATACAAATGGTCGTGCATGAATGTAGTTTATGCTCATTAATACTGTAAAGGAAAACATTTTTTGTAGTACTACCTGCCAGTTACAAACCTGTGAAGGCTGTCCGTAAACTAAGGTCTCCTACGAGCTCCCGTCGCGATAGAGAGAGAACATCAGTGTCATATTCTTTGTTTCCCCCACCACTATTCTGGCCAGTGCGCACCTCTGTGTGACGTACAGGCTTGGCTCACCAGCCTTTAACCATGGGAGGGAAAATAGACGCTTCCGCCAAGTGTGAATTGTGATCTGTGGTTTAAGAGGTCAACTCGTATTGAATTCCATCGGCAGTTGACCGATGTATCGTATGGAGAAAAGTGTATAGGCATAAGATATATGCGTAAGTGGTGTAGGAAGTTCACAGAAGGTCGTACAAGCGTGCACGACGGGCCGACCGGGAGCGTCCTTCAGTTTCAATCAACACAGTTTCGAATATTGAGGATCTTTCTTGTTTGCAGATTTAAAAGGGGTGGGTCACTGAAGTATATTTATGCTGAAACGCGGGCGGTCTCTGCCATAGAAACAGCTCACCGAGAGAGATAGCGTGCAAGGGGGATTTCTGTCACTCTCACTTATTGAGAAACTGATCATTAATATTTTCAAAACGTATCCAATAGGCTGCTCTGGGATCAGTGGCGTAGCTATCGGGGTAGTAGGGGTTGCAATTGCTACCCGGCGCCAAGTACCGAAAGGCGCCGCGGTTAGTATCGTTTATTGGTTTATTTATTATATTACTTACATTTACATCGCGGTTGGGATTAATCAGAGTAGCAAAAATTCAACAAAAATAATCTTACAAGATTTAAATTTAATTATCCAACTGTGATACAGTAAACCTGTAAGCTTATGTATAAAAGAAAGACCTTTATTTAACATAAAGGCCTATTGTATCTCGAAACTTGACAATATCACATTTCAACTAAATGAAGTCATGCGAGGTGCACGTGCAAGGATGCGATGCGAAGTATTGAACGTTATCATTATTGCCCTGCACCTGCATGTGTATGCGAGTTATCTTTATTTTTTATTTTTGGAGAAAGGCGCATTAATTGTTTTGCTACCCGGCGCATCGTACTCTAGCGACGCCACTGTCTGGGATGCGTTGAGATTAAAGTTTCGGTTATACGCCCGATGCACACCGGGCGCGCCTGGGGCGTTCAGAATTTACATTGGTAACTATTTGTGGCATTTTTTGCTCGGTTTAAAATTTGACGGGTACTTAAGTTTTAACAGTAGGATGAAACGCACCCCTGCATGCGCTAGATCCCCTTGTGGCCGTCTCTTTCGAATCGTGACCAAAGCTGGTGGCCGACTGCTATTTGTGAGGTTGTGGGTTCGAACGCTGCTGCCGACTGCTCTGTCTGGGGTTTCTCAGAGAGTTTTCCTCAGACGTACGCCGGCCGCTTCGCATAATGCTAGCATTATGTTGAAACCTACGATGCGAATGCTGGAGCAATACTCTTCCCTCGCAGCACTCTAACTCCGTTCCTATCCTTAACTTTACCCATCCTTGCATTTCCGTTCTCTGGCTGAAGAGGGTCCGAAAATCCTGGGCAGCCCGCCTCCGGTATAAACACGTTGACCTTTTCCTTTCGAATCGCGCTGGCGGACGGAGCGCGCGTTCCAGTATTATAATCATTGAATTTATAACTAAATTCAATGTTATAATCATAGTTCAGTGGGGTCGGCTGACAAAGGGAGATCGTTTCACCATGACAACGCCCACACCACGACGGATCTCGGCGCCAAAGAGGCAACTGTCTATTTCTTACTGCGTAGGTCGGTGGGAGAGTGGTACGACCGGGGTATTACTTCCGGAGAGATTAAAAAAATGGATTGTACATGACGGGGACTATGTTGAAAAAACCTAAAAGTCAAAGCTTTCAGGATCTAATTGGTTTTGCAATAATGTGATATTTACTATGTGGAAAAGCATTACAGACCTTAATTGACGGACAACCCTCGTATGTGAAGTGGGCCTCGCCCAATTGAAATAATTTGACAAAAGTGGATTAGAAAATTAGTAGGTATATGATAATGTCCAGGGTGCTGAGTGATTCTGTATTCTGAACATAGAGACAATAACATTATTGCTTCTTGTATGATTGCTAATTTGCTACTGCTTATAAGTATATCGCTATAGTATATAATATGATGTTAAATGCGTACACACATCTTTGTCAAATAATTCGCATCAGGCGTCCAAGACCTCATGGGTTAATATATGGTTTAAATAACAGGCAGTGAGTGAGTCAAGTTTGCATCAATAAGGTTCCGAAGTTAGCAAACTAGTATGGACACTTGAATGACATGAAGTTTAAACATTGTGACAAAATAAAATTTACATGTTCGACCTGTGTTAGTCAGTTTCACTTTTTTTGGTATAACGTCTAAATAATACCAATCAATTGATGGTAGATCCAGCGGTGTGCAAATTGAGAGGCATATATTTATTGGTGATTCCAGAAGACCTTCCTTGTCTACTAATTTTTGAAACCACTCCGCTTTGTCTTCGATATTTTCCTCTGTATATGGAGCATGAGCGTTAGATTTAGTTAACAAGGCTTTGTTTACCTTCTTCCATCACTTGCTCATCTTCCATTTCTAAAATAGGGTTTTCGACTTTCAACTTTCAAATTCTTCACAATAATATATTCGATATAGTATTGTCATTAGAAATTGGTATCTGTCATTTTTAGACGTTCACTATAAGTCACGAGTAAGCGTCTGTCCATTTTTGTTTGTCACATGTCATGATATAATGGATACCTACCACTACCTTAGATCATTACCTTAAATTAATATTAGGCGTTTACGAAAATTCAACCGGTTTAACCAAGTTGGTAGATTTTGCTATGGTAACAATTATTGCGACAATTGTTTCCATGGTAATTTTTACCAACCCGATTAAACCGGTTCAATTTTCGTAAACGCCTATTGGTAATACGTATGATCTATACTGCATTCATTATAAGAAGGTAGTAGATGGCGCTGTGTTTGGAGATGAGCACACACAGGAAAAATATAAAACGGCCCCAAATTATTGTAAAGACGTAGAAATATCCAGCACTGCAAACAGAAATAAATCTTTGACATTAACAGCTAATGACATTTCAGCAGATTAGTTCGCAACAGAAACTACCAGCTTGGACAATTCGCTACTCGTTTTATGTTTCAGTGTAATACTGACTCGTGTTTTAACCAATCACACTGAAAGTCAAAGTGTCCCGATGCTTTCTACCGCTACCTTCTTAAAATGAATACAGTATAAGATAATTACAAGCCATGCTGAGAAGTTTGGCAACGTTGTCCGAAAGTCAATCGGAGGGCCGCTGAAAGCATATATATGGTGAAAGCTTTAATGGCGTCTTGTCCCTCTTATTTTTCCTCTTTTCTGTGTTTCGCCTTGGTGGTTTTAATACCGAAGAAAGATACATAGGTAGCTTACAATTGTACATATATTTTATTCATTTACCCAAAATCGTCATGAAACCTTTATTTTCTTGCATGCTTTCTGTCAGGAAAATGCGAGGAAAATGTTAGTTTCCATGACGCAGGTAGACCCGACTACTTTTCCTGCCGCCTGTCAAATTACCGGCCGCACCTGTCACTTTTCCTGCCGCACCGTCACATTGCTAAATGTCTATAATGACTCATGTCATCATTGACAGATTGGCATAAATCAAAAATCTCGTATGAAAAATGAAATTTCATATTAAAATACGATTTTGGGTAAAATTTAATACAAAACTCGTCAGTAACATGACATTTATACTTGACTCGGAAATTAAAGTACTCGGCCCCGAAGGGGCCTTGTACTTCAATATTTCCTCGCCAGTAATGTGTCATTTTCCTGACTTATATGTAATAGTACATTATACATATATCAAGGTAGAGAAATCCAGTATTATTAATAGACTTCTCTACTGTGGTATATATACTATTTTTTTCACTACTAGCACTTGAAGTCCTCGAAATTAACATATTATATTGATAAGAAAGTGAACGGTTGGACAGAATTTTTTGTTTATTAATTTAACATGTCAATCAAGTACGTGGAAGTACAAGGCAAACAGGCCGTATTTTGTTCTGTCATTGAGACTTTCGTTTCGTTTTCACGTTTTCAAAGAGAAATTTCGTTCGATTTTTTTCAAAATGTGATAATTTTAGGTATGTAATTTCCGAGGTAATTTCTCTGGAAATGGCGGATGGTGGCAATTATTCATTTTAGAGAACTTGCCTAAACGCTTATTGAGCGAAATTTCGGGTTGTGTTTTCTAACAGTGACAGCGTGACAGTTCTCATTATTGACTACTAGCATTGAATAAAAACACTATAAGAAGCCTAACCCCGTGGAAATAAAGCGCGACAGAGATTGAACTGAGAATATATAATGGCACTGTCAATAGTGTCGATTCTTGAACTGAGAAGAATGAGAATTTGCTTTCCTCCTATTTACCGCAAAGAGAGTTCGGCGGTCACAACCAATGCGGGTGCAAGGGGATTTGTCGCGCTTTCTTCCATAAGCGTGTTTTTATTCAATGCTACTAGTTAATAATGTCCACATTATTAACCACTTTGAACAAATGCCGAGAAAGCCTACTTTACAAGTGGAAAAAAGGTGTCATCAGGCGCTAGTAGTGAAATATAGTTATTTACATATGTGTATGGTAAATCAAGCTTTACGTTAACGAGTGAGATGTTTACTGCCGAAGCGTAGCTGTGAGGCAGGAATTTCGAAACGAGTAACGTTAACTGATTTAACATACAAGTATATAAAGCATTTTTTCTATTTCGGTGTCACAATGATGATTTTGTACAACTGTTTTCGGCCGAAAACAGTTGTACAAAGACAGTGATTATAGTTGTTTTTTTTTTGGTAACTCATCTCTTAAGTTGGCAGTTACTAATTAGTACAAGTAGGTACTTCGTTGGGTACTTCCATGTTTGAACTTCAAAATGTCAGTCTTACTACGCTGCCAACCTAAAACTTAACGACATAAAAAGTGTTCCCAACATAAAACATGTTAGTTCTAATGTTCCCTATAGTTTCTGATAATGATTTTTTTAATTAAATTAAAGCACCGAAATAGAAAAAATAGTATGAAAAACGCGTGTTACAATGCTTTATTGTAATACTCCTATCTTGCGGACACTCGTGGCTACGCTTCGCGTCGCCACTCGTGCCACAAGATAGTCGTATTACAATAGGTCGCATTGTAACACTTGTCTTTCAATATACTATTATTTCATACTGCTCTTTTTTCTATTAAAATGCCATACAATTTTTGATTAGAATATTGTACACGCATTCAAATGAAAGCAAAAGGATCACTTGATTTGTTTGATCTGACAGTACTTTGACACATTAATTATTTTAGAGTAAAAATACGTTTTTTTTTGAGAAAAAAATACTGCATCTGTTCATACTATTACTCATAATTTTCCGTTTTTCAAAACCGTAGAAATCGACAAAATAAAAAATTACATTTTTATAAATCAGTGATGCTTTGAATGGTTTTGGCGGACATTTTGAACGTTATTGCACTTGCAGTGATCTAACACTCTTCCTGTTCTTTGAAACTTGCGCACAATTCTTCTACTGTGTGTGATGTACCCAGGCCAGTCCCGAGAGACTGCGCAACTCAAGATTTAAATTCAAAACTTTCCCTCCCAAACTAACTGAACCCCATGGCACGTGATCGTCTAGACAAAGCTACCTAACTGAATAACCAAATAATAGGACCATTTACTACGTTGTGTTTTTAAGAGTCGCTACAAGATATGTGCTGCCTGTCGGAGTGAGGATCAAGTAAGGAATACAAATAAAACAAGTACATGCTTTAAAAACGGAGATTTAATCCAAATAATTAGCATTGCAAGATTAAATTTAGAAAATGGTAGTTCGCCGAGTACAAAATATGAAAATAGGCTGGGAAAAAAAGAACTGACCAAGAAAAAAACCAGCCAACGAATAAATATTGAACTTTATAGTAAAATTAGTTATCTGTAATGGCATGAATGTTTTCATGTTGTCAAGTACAGCAATACAATGTCGAATCCCAGGCTCCACTGGAATTCCTAAAGAATAAATATTACACACACATAACAAAAAAACAATCATTAAAACATTACAATAAATTCATATAATAGATTTGGATATTGGATGGCCAGTCCAAATCCCACACCGAGTAGTCTTTAGTTGCTCTGGTCATGACATGTCAACATTGTATGAAATCGCTAGGAGTTGGCCTCTCAGAAGAGCCTTTCACATAGGAAGGATACCTCAAATTATTAACAAAACAAAAGGTCACAACGAGAACACGCCACACGCTTTTAGCGAATCCCTGCGCAAGTGAGGCCGGGCCTAGCCAGCGCCCTCATGTACGACTAAGCGGGACCCCAACTCATTCATTCGCACATCTCTAGGGCCAGTCCAACCCACTAGTCTTAAAATGCCGGGTTATAAATTACCGAACTCCAGGCTCTCTACCATGAGTACTGACAATAACCGATCAAAAGACAAATCATGACATAACAAAAATAACAGAGTAACCAACGGCAAACTCGCACGCATACCAAATTATAAATAAAATATACACAATTTATGTAGGCGTCGAAAGTCAACATATTTGCACTGGCAGAACAAAGACTGACACAAAACCAATATTCGGTCACTACATGACAGGGATCGACTAAACGAATTGATTAGCAATATCGGCAAGATGGCTCTTTTCAAAGACACAACAAAAAAAACAGTAAGTACATAAAATATATACCTCTGCGTATGTCAGTTCTGAACTTTAGCCAGCCTCTGCTACGTCAAATCGAGATATTAAATATCGGTATCAAATACCTATCAATATCAAATATAGCACAGTAAATATTCGAAGCAAGTCACCCCACCAAATATTAATAATCATAATCACCCGGTTCAAATAAATAGTAGGAGCATAAATTTTAGTACAACCACATTACAACAATACAAAGGAACATGTCGTGGCAAACATTGGTATCAAGTAATTAATTCACAATGCCAAGTGCAATATGTAACAATCAACCACCCAACGCACGTCACTCGCCCCCAGATGAAGGCACCCTGCAAATACATAGTAACATATTCAGGTAAACAACAACGAAATGTGCTGCAATAAATTCAATTATAAATTAAAATGCAGTTCTGCACACTCGCACTGGAGACCGCCCCTAAGGGAACATACAGTATCTAAATATAAATAAAAACACGTAAATCGGTCAGAAATTACCCAGCAGGCCCAGCATAACCAAAACTGCAATTGGTATCTGGAATTTGTCACAAATGGCACAAATCAATGCTGTACGAGAACAAAGTTAAATTGGCAAACAATTTAACACGATCACATCGTTATTAGGGGGATGCAATAGACATAGAGATAAATAAAACGAGTACATCACCTTTGTAATTGTCGAAGCTGCACTCACCATTCGCAACGCAAAGATTTACTTCTGCTCACAACAAAAGCACACATACTTCTGCCTAAATTTCCCCTTTGCAGGCAAATCCTAGACGAAAACAAATCTTAATATCGAACGTGCCTCGAGACGGGTCGATACGGATCATTAAGTTTCCTCGCATAGCTCGCATTGCGTAATATTTGACACTTTTATTGTAAATTATAGCCCATTTCAATGTAG